ACACACACAAAGGGAGAGAAAAAGCCTTTGGTGACAGCGATGATTGTCAAAGGACGGGAGTCCTCACATCATATCTGGAAAAAAAAACAGAAGGGCTGACAAAGAGGGTAGAGCAGAGTTCGAGAGGAGTGATGAGAAATGATGAGAAGACAGAAATAGATTGTGTGTGTGAATCGGAGGGGACTCCAGCTGTGTGTTTATCCTGCACCAGGGAAGACTGTGTCGAGCCAGCTGAGATGACAAAGCAGACGAGGGCTGTGACACGCAGTACAGATGACAGGCTGCACAAACACACACTCGCTCAAAAGGTTTGTGCTGTTCCTCCTCTGGAGTGTGTGTGCATTTGTGAGTTACCCATGATTCATGCTGAATAGATGCACAACAGCAGATTTGTATTGAGGAGAGGGTGAATATCTGCAAGCAGCGATTTCTACTATATGCCTTCTCCTGGTGAAAATGTGGCATTCAGCAAAGTCAGCATCCACCTCATTACACCCGTGTGACCTTCTGTGAATTATACAAGACCACACACACACTCTAAGCCTCATTTTACAGCATGTTCTTCGCAGGATTTTACCTCAGAGCAACTTTGTGTTACTGTAAACAGACATTTGCAGTGGTATTAGTAGGTCGGTTCACCTGGACCATCCTAAGCAGCAGTTAACACAACAGGGACAAGAGGTTATGGCTGTGATGGACCCTGAATAACCCCCCTCGTACAGCCCCGGAGTCACCATCTGGCTATCTTATATAACTGCAGAGTGGACTGTGAAATGGTATTGTCTGGTTATGCAAACTGGAAGAATGGATTTTTCTCATGTTAGCAGGGCTTTTATAAATGTCTCCGACCTTTTCTACACACAGTGGTATTAAGTGTCAAAAGGATGCAAGTTATTGTTAGAAATTTCAGAAAGCATAGCCTTGGTGTTTTCAGCAGTATTTACAGCCTTGAATTTTATAATGTGGGCAGCTGAGTCCCAAAGGTATGGAAGCTTTTATTCTGGAAAGTTTGGAAAATTAAGAGCCTGACCCTTTACAGTTGTTTGACAAAATAAACTTGAAGAATGACTATAACTTTTTAGAGATGACATAACTTCTTCTTTTGCAGTTTAACTTAGTCTGGTATGACCAGTATCTTACGTTAGCAAACATTGGATATAGCTGGGTAACTGTGTGGTGACATTATAACCTTTCAATACTTGTGCTAATGCTACGCTACATGTAACATATTTAACAAGTTGTAGTGACATTCAGAGCACTAATACAGCAGCAAACAACATTGCTATTGTGGAGAAATGGCCTCTTCAGCGCAGGATAAAATTATGCTAATGCTGCCTATGTTGTAATCAGAGCTTCTCTCTTTGTTGTTATGGTAACCCGTTGCTAGCTAATCACCGCTGCTCTGCAGTGCGCTCACACAGCAGTTACTGACGACATAGGGACAGCGTCATCACAGAAGTGTAGCGCCCAGTCTCTGGTTTCCTCCCAGGTTAACAACGTTAGCCCTGTTAGCAACGGCGCCGGAAGCGGGGGGCCAGGGGGCCATTGGCCCCCCCACTTTTACCCTCCTGCCACATTATTTTTAAGCCGAATCAAAGGTCCCTATATTACATTACTTACGGTAAAAAAGACTTTCACTCTTCACTTCCACTCATACTGTAGGTAAAATACAGAGAGAGGCCATAGAGAGAAAGATACAGCCTACAGCAGGCACTCAATTGTGCGCACCTGTTACTGCCTCACCAGCCCGGTAAAGCCTTGAGCATCCTCGGCAGGCTCCGGGTAGACTCTCAGCTGTCTGGCTCTATCCAACAGCACCTAGCAGTAATCCCCACTAACCCTGGCACCATATTGTAAGAACTCCCCAGTTATAAAAAAAATAGAAATAAATCAAAAAGCGAGCCAAATTGTAGGCCTATCTGGTTCGCAATCAAACATTTCTAGCGCTGGTGTGTTTTATTTTTTCTCAATGCCCCTCCGCGGCTCTGTAGTACACAAACATAAAACAAAAAATAAAGAATCTGAATTTAAACTCAATTTGTCTGACTTACATTTATCTCTTTCATATCATGAATGCATAGATCTATGCTTTTGATGTGATATGCAGCCTGCCTGACAACATAGGCTACAGAGGCCCTGGACCTGCTGCGCACAGAGGTGGAGCGGCGTTTTGATCAGGAGGGACTCCGCGTAGCTGCAGAGCGAGAGCAGGCACTTCTTGAGGCGGCTCAGGGGAAACGAGAGCGGCTAATAGAGCTTAGATCGGGCCCAAAAAATCCAGCCCGACCCGGCCCAAGCCCGTGCACGTTATGTCTGGGACAGGATTTTAATTATGATTTAAACCTGTCATTTTTCAATAAGTTGGCTGTTATAATTAAGAGTATTAAACCACAATTCTTGTTATTTGAATGACAGAAATATAGGATCTTAATGAATGGTGCAACAGGGAAGCATGATTATGTAATAAAACAGGTGTTTATTTTAGGATCCAGGTGGTGAAGGGCTGTGTGCTCACAATGTTCCAACAGGGGACAGCCCTCCATTCCGAAACACCACCGTTCTGAACCATCCACACTCCAAAACTGATTTTCAATCAAGTTTGAGAATTGTATTGTGGAGTTTTGCACAGCGGCGACCAGATCTTTGCTCTCAAACCACAAAAAATGTGATGGCACAACAGTTTCCTTGAGTACATTATTCTATGCTTTCTTTTGATTTTCACATTGGCTATTCATCCTGTTTAATTTGTCTTCTGATTAAATCGGAACCGTTTAAACAAGTTGTAGGAAGCCTCTGCAAGTAATTGGTTGCTGGCAGACACTCTGAGCTGCAATAAAATGGTTAATCAGCAGTGCCGTGCACTGTAGAGCTGATGTGCTGCTGGTTCTGCCGGCCTGAATAGAATATAATGTCTATAGCCTTACTGTCGTGTACAGCCTTATAGACTGAGCTGAGTAGTGATGCGCGGGTCGACCCGTAACCCGCAGGACCCGCAAATGGACCTTTTTCAAAACACACTTGTGTCATGTACTCCAGAAACTTGTTGAAACTTTAAACAATAATTAGTTGTACAAAACAGGGGAAACAAACGTTGACAAAAACAGTTCCATAATTCATATTAAATTCAAAAGATAACGAAAAAACAGCTATATAAAAATATGTTAAAAAAAAAAAAAAAAAAAAGAATATCGAATACCGAATTTTCATAAGGAATACCTACCCATAGAAACAAATATTCGAATATCCAAATATTTGGGTACAGCCCTATCCATAAAAGGTTCAAAGTGTTCAGGTTTCATGCAAACACTGTTAAGAAATAAACTGTTTGCTTTTTTCCTCCCAAGATAAATTTCATGATTAAATACATTATCTGACTCTTTGTCTTTCTTCACCATCTTTTTAAAGAGAGAGGACGAGCTGTAACTTGCTCCAAGATACTGCTGCTTTCACTAAAGCACACTGTTGCCACTGTTGTGCAAGCTCACACTCAACTCAGGCTGTACTTCAATCCCTGATCACTACGCACCTTTAACTAGTCCCTATTATTAACTGGACATTACACAGGTAGCCACGCCCACACAGTGACAAGCCCCAGACGCACAGCACTTTTTGGCCCCCCCACTTCTGAAATGAATCCGGCGCGCCTGCCTGTTAGCACTATAGCCATTGTTTTTTTTCTAATTTTGTGTCACTCTAAAAAAAAAAAACCCTCTTTGTTTTAACTTAAAAAAGTGAGTGTCTGGGCTACCTTAAAAGTTTAAGTTGACTGAATTTGAAAAGAAAAGTTGAATCATGACAAAATTAACTGAACTTGTCCTCCTAAACTCAGTCAACTTAAAATTTTAAGGTAGCCCAGACAAATTTCTCTAAGTCCAAACAGTTTCTTTAGCACCGTTAGCTGCTAGCTCAGCCATGTTATATCTAGATGATAACCCTAGATCTGTGAGAACTCCAGTTTCAAGTGATCATTTTAAACCAAACCATTATCTTTCCCTAACCCTAACCAGGTGCTTTTGATGCCTAAACCTAACCAGATCATCACCACAGCGTTCTCACACCATGAAACAGCAAGACAAGAACATTTTAAAGCTGCTCACCAAAGTTTCGCAAATCTAGGGTTACCATGTAGTCATGACCCTCAGCCACCTCCATGTGGAGAACTGTGTACAAACTGTCCCGCCCCACACTCAGAGTCATAGTTATGCTTTGCATGTCATATACAGCTCCTATGACATTATTAAAACAGCAAAACAAAAAGTAAACAAACTGCATTGTTGTTCATTGGTGACATACTCCTACAACCGCACCACAGTCACTAGGCACACTGTACTGTTCTGTATATCTATTACTTAACCTGCTACTCCACTGTCATGACTGTGATCCATGACAGCCAGGTGTTCTCCTAAGAGCTTGGAAAGAGATTAAAGCTTCTCTATCTGTCTCTCAGCTTACTAAGCACCAGTTCAGCCTCATTCAACTGGCTGAAACTAAGGCCTTGAATAGAACAGTGGTGGACCAATCACGGGCAGGGGAGGGGTGCTTCTGTCCTTCCAGTAAAGTCACTGGGACAACAGTATTACAGTGTGGTTCAAGCACGCCACCCAGTGTTGGTAAAGTGTGCAGGTTCTCTAAGGTGATGTGAACAGGAATGAGCACATCTAGAACCCACTGTGCATGATGTAGAGATTTATTTTAACATTGGGTGGTATTGTGGGTGTGATAGACTATACCTGCACACAGTTTTCTTAGTATGGTACGTGCTGTATAATATGAAACACCACATTAAAGGGACAGTTCACCCCAAAATAAAAAGTACATAATTTTCCTCTTACTTGTAGTGCTATTTGTCAGTCTAGATAGTTTTGGTGTGACTTGCCATGTTGGAGATATCAGCCATAGAGATGTCTGCCTTCTTCAAACTTCAACAAAGCTTCAGCTCTAAATCTTTGAGTAGCTGTGAAGAATTGCTGATGAAGACAAATAAACATTACAAGCAGACAAAACTTGCCCACAAAAATTGCTTTAATTGACTGTTAAAAATAAGTAAGGCTAGAGATGCTGTCAAAGTACAGATGGTGTGCGTACTGCTAACTTGGAAGAGAGGAAGTCCCTGCCAAGTTAATGACACGAGTATGCAGATGAGAGGGATGACAGACCTGTGGAGGAGGGCGAGACGCTCCATCATGCTGTGGTGGGATGAAGTCGCTCGCTCACTGACTTTAGTTTGACTTTTATTTTCCTGCATTAGCTGAGAATTGATTGTGTCAGGGATTGTGGACAGGCTGCAGGGTTTCTATTTCAAAAATAAAAATAAAAACAGGCCTGAAACAAACCCCCTCTCACCTCTCCCCTCACAGACATAGTGCATAGCTGAGTAAGGTTACCACCTACAACACAAATTCATATCATTTCAACAGCAACAAGTGTTGTCAAAACAATAAACCCAAGCCATTTTCATGTTTCATACATATATAATCATATATATATATATATATATTCATATTCAATGTACAAAGATACATTCTGAATTGCAAAGGCTCAATCATTGTAAATAAATACTGAAATGGCTAAACTGCAATAATATTTGACTCCTCTCCTGGAGAGGAGACACACACACACACTCACTCACTCACACACAAGCTCACACACTCTGATACTGTTCGATACAAAGAGGACAAAACAAAGAACATACCAGTGCAGTGTACTGGTACACAGAGGCCAGAAATAGTCTTATATTACACCCAAACGAACATCTTGTGCACTGTACTCAGAGAGAGTACAGCCTAAAAGACAAACGTAAAAAAAAAAAAAAAAAGTTCAAAAATAAAACATAAAACAGGAGTTGCCATCAGGAGGGGATATCACTGAGTAGTTCAGATAAAGAGAAAGGGGACAGAGCAGTGCCACAAAACCAAAATGTCAATGTTAGAATTCTGACCTCTAAATGTCAAGATAAGGATAAGATGGGGGGGTGATGTAATCCTCAGTGTGGCTGCTTGTTTTATCCTCTCATAGTAACAGCTCCGGCACATTCTCCTCTCTCACACCCTGAAAATATGTCAATTTCCAAATATGAAAGTCTAAAAATATATCTTATCTACACACCAGGACATCTGTTACAAACTCTTTTGTGTTATCTACATGGAGGCAGACTCAAACGTGCTGCTCACTGTTAGACGAGACACTATTATTGTTTCAGCAGGTGGCTAACTATCTGTGTTTAATTCTTTATCCTTTGGTAGCAAGCGCAACATTCTTTCAAGAGAAAAATAAATACTTTGTCACACTTGAAAAGCCAAATAGCTTAGTCCTTTCAACCCTTGATACCTAAGGCATATTTTTATGTGTCTACTAGCTGGAGCTGGTAGGTAGACTGAGAGCAGAGGGCTGACAGCGTCCTCACGTTATATTGGATTAAATATAAGTCTGGTCTACAAATCCTACAGCATTGCAACCAAAACTAACTTAAAGGACGGGCGGACTTACAGTATATGTAGTAGTAGATGTAACAGCAGCAGCTGCTTTTCAGTTAATAATTAAGGGTTTTGTAAATGGAATTTTTGTCAGTCCCTGGGTTATTCAGGCTCCAGTTTGTGCGTCTAATGTTTTATCATTACATTCAAGTCACAGAGCTACGCATCCGATTGTCTGAAAACTAATTACAATCTCTGAACAAGACTATGGACCCTCTCTAACACCCAGCGCAAAGCAGCACACAATGCAGCGCAACTGTCATTGCTAGTTTCCAACTGATTTTCACGGCCAGCACCCATGTTGCGTAAGTAGCTTGCACCAATGTGTGCGCCCATAGGGATGTAGGGAGTAAAATGAGGTGTGGTTAGGCGCGTTGTTGGCATATTGCTATTTTAAGGGAAGCAGAAAGTGATTGTGCTGCAGTTTGCGCAGTAAAACTGCTACTTAAAGGGCGCATTACTTAGAAAATAAGATGGGTGTTTACGACACGCGTATACTCTGCTTGTTGCACACAGGTACGCATAGATGGGTTGTGGGTGGGTAGAATAATTCATTATTAATGAAGAAAATATTAATGGCATGTAAAATGTGAACATAGCAGAGATCACAGCAGAGCTGTTGTCCGACTCCACATTAAGGGAGATGCTGTGTGCATTTACACATGAGGAGCAGCATAACTTCACTGATTATTTCAGAAGCTAAAAGTTTAGCTCTGTTTCCTCTGTCAAAATTTGCTGCAGTGACATTATTATGACAGCAGAAAACTGCTGCTTCTCCAATTTGCAGAATTTGCCATGGCACCTGGCTTTTAAAGGGAATGAAAGGTACAACTCCTTCACCCTTGATCCTTACTTTGCACCCAGACTTTGCTCTTTTTAACTAGCAGCAGTAGTTGGACATGTCTTAAATGCACATGTGCCATGCACTGTAGGCCATGAGCTATAGATTGTTTAAATCAGGGCTCTTGCAGTCTACAGAGATGCTAGCAGCTCTGTGAGATTGAACTTGCTTTGTGCTGACGCCAGCATGCTAACATGATCACACTGATGATGATTACCATCTTCATTTAGCATGTCAGCATGCTAACATTTGCTTAATAGAACCAAACACAGATGAGGTTGATGGGAATGTCCTTAGCTTTGCAGGTATTTTGTCACAAAACAAAGGTATTGGACAATAGGTTCTAACCCAATGACTGGGCTAGATAATAACTCAGAGGATCACCAAAGTTAATCCACTTCATCCTGAGGGGGACATGAATTCTGCACCAAAAACCATGACAATCCATCCAATAGCTGTTGAGATATTTTAGTGTGGATCAAAGTGCTGGACTGAGCGAGACAAATTGCCATCCAAAGAGCCATGCTGCTAGCGTGACAACACTTAACGCTGTTCTGAAGGCATTTCAAGACTCGGAAATGGGTTAAAAATCTTTTTTATCATGCAGCAGATGGAATATTATTTTCATTCAGGTGGTTAGAGGACTCTTTGAGGATTCTGGAAACATCTTCAAAACACTTTAAAGTGTAACTAAACAGCCCTCTAGGTTTTATCAAAACATTGCTGGTTGAATTTATTTTTCAGATTATTGGATGCTTAGCTGTGTGACTGGAATGTAATGGTAAGGCACACATGAGAGGCATAAACTGGGGCTACCACTATTACGTATTAAGAGTATTAAGATAAATACAGGGCTATTTTCTGCTCAAACAGGTACTAACTGCATGAGGCTGATGTATTGCATTTGACTTAAACAAATCCTGACCTAGAGACAACTGGCAATCAATTCAATTTGTCTTGCATACAATCAAAAGCCAAGTTCTCAAAGGACGAAAAACAAAAACAACATGAAATAGGATTTGGGATTCATCGACAATCCCACATGATTTGCTCTGACACATGATTGCCCAAGTCTTACATTATTAGAGGGCAACAGGGGAGCTCACAGGTGATTATTTTCTGTTTGACCAACTGATTTAGCATCTAGTCGAGTCCAGCATGAGCACATGACAACTGAACTGAGTGAAGGTAACCTGGAAATGTCAGGAGGAAAGTTCATTGAATCTGCTGAGCAAATGTAACAAAAGTTCTGTATCCAATAACAGCTTTACCTCATATAATATTAGAAGAAAAAGAGGCATTATAACAGATTGAAATTCATAAAATAACATTTTTTAAAAAAGGAACAAACAAGAGAAAACAACTAATGATAAAACATGCAGTTTATGTGAATCTGTTTGCACTGCTCCAGTTCAGTTCACCACTGAGGACACTCTCAGAGCAGTTTCTGCTTGTTTCACTCTTATTGTTCAGGTCTGACGAAGAAAAAAGTGCTGATTAAACTCGTGCCTGTAGAGGGGAGTCGTCCACCTGAGCTCCTCCTCCCTGGCAGCGGGTTTGAGAGAAAAGGCAAACAGGCCTCAGGGGTCCGAGGTCACAGTTCAGTCCTCATTGGCGAGGATCTGCCAGACGATGAGGTGGCTGCGCTCGGCTTTAGCCAGAGAAGGCTCCAGTTTCATGGTAAGCTCCTCGCCCTCCTCTGCCTCGCCATCCTCATCACCTAAACACACACAGAGAGACACCACATTTGTCTTTGGATCTCCAGCAGTGGTTACAGCGATGGTTTTAGTCATTACATATAAACAAAGCACACTCACCCATCCTAAAGTCGATGTAGCCTTCTCCTCCACTCATCACCAGCATGGACTTGGTTCCTTCCTGAGTTGCTGCATCTGTCGTCTTGTCACCTGCTGCCTCGACTCCACAGGACGCAGATGGAACTGCATGACCTGAAAGCACAGAGACACAAACTGTAAATAACACCAAACAAGTCCAGATTGTGTTTTTCTGGAACAGACCTTCTTATCTCTATACTGGATATGAAAGAGATCTCAGCTCCCTGACTTTAATTTGCACCCAATTGTATGAGAAGCTCTGTAGGGTTAGCAAACTGTTCTTACACTTCATACTCAGCTGCTGGTTAAAAGCATATGGCAGCAGCACCTAAAAGGACAACTTTGACTTTTTTAGATAGAAAATAGTATTTAATAGTTAATGGGTGGCTCCCTTTTTTTTTCCTTCAACCTCCAAGCTCAGATCTTCCAAGCTAACACTTTCCTCACTCTCCATGCTTACACTGCCAGCAAACGCTGTATGTGGAGGCTGAGGGAGAGGAGGGCACCAACACTGTGACCTATATCACCGCTTTTAGCTTGTCTCAGTTGAGTGGGCATTTCCGTTTGAAAAACCAAGAAGAGAACGCAGATGGACCCGCCCTTTAGGAAATAACAGTTATCTTTAGAAATAAAAAGTCAAACAGGCTGCTTTGTTTACCTGGGACAGCGGTGAAGAACTTGACAGCGTCTCTGTGACCATGGAAACAGAGCTGAGCGTGAGCCATGGAGCAGTATGGAACAAATGTCCCTGCTGTCACTTTGTCACTGCTGTCATCACCATAGACACGAACCACGCTTCCTGGATGGTTACTTGTTGCCTTGGTTACCTTGTTGGCTGCTAATGGAATGGTGGAGGTGAGAGAGAGAACAGGAGAGGTACATTGAAGTGTTCAGTCAGTAAAATCTACCTTCAAGACAAAGTCTGTATGTAACATATGTGTTAGTCTTGTTGCACCAATCTTAAATCACAACTTGTGCAAACATAAGTTAAGTATTTTAAGACATTTAGTGGACTACAAAATGTGGAATGCCTAAGTGTAATGAGGATCTGCAAGTATATGGGCAGCAGCAGGCGAAGTGTGCAGTGTGAATGTGTGTGTCCACCAGACGTAAAAATAACTCACTATCTGTCAGAGGAATGGAGATGATGACTCCATTTCCGGTGCCGATCCACAGGCGATTACATGACACCATGAGAGCTGTGATCCTTACAAATGAGAATCCCAGTTTCCCAGTACCTGAAGAAACCCCCCCGACAAAATTTGATTATTTAAAGCGTCAGAGCCTGACAGGTGTCTTATGTGTTTCATGAAGGAGATTTTGTAAGAAAGACTGAACTGACCCAGCATCTTGCTGACGTAGGGCTCGATGTCGACGTCCTGAAGGTGCTGGAAGGTGTGAGCGTGGAACAGCCTGAGAGTGGAGTCCAGTCTGATGGACACCCAGATGCCATCACCATCCCAGGCCAGCTGACGTACCTGGCTGTCCTTACGAGGGTGGGCATCAAATGACTTCTGCAGAGGACACAAAATAGTTTGTAAAAGCACATTTATACTTCTTTTACAAACAAAAATATAAATTTATTTTTCAAACGTTGTAACCATCACTGCTCACATACTTTCATGCATCATTTATGTCCACACACACATCCATAAGACATCCATAAAATAATTGGTCTTGCATGGACCACTTTTCCATTACTACTGTCCAACTCATATTTAATGTGCCTGGGCAAAGTGACATCATATAGATGTTTAAAATTCCTGACCAACTCACATAACCTCTCCTCAAAAAGTTCCACCATTTTTAAAAGGTCTTTGTCGTGTCCTTTGGTCGTGTCTTGCACTGGACTAGCTGGCTACGCTGCCTCCACGATTTTTAGTGGTGCAACACAGTGTATGGACAGAAGCAAGCTTATGTTTTATTTTCTTCTGACAGATGTGTCTGGTCCCCCCCCTGTCATTCAGACAGATTTCCAGCCAGCCTGGTCCACATCAGCCAATCACAATTACACAAAAATATGTCATGGCGTCACTGACAGCACCTTTGTGCAGGGGACACAACAGCGACCATAAACCTATCTTAGTAAAGAGAAGCCCTGTTAAGGCATTTTCAAAAACTACCAAGATGGCTGCAGCTGATGTGGAACTGTCTGTTGAAGTACTATTTTCAAATTCTGATGGCAAAAATGGCAACACTTGTTCACACACACATTGATACTACACCATCACAACTCATCTCTGCACGCTTGTTCCGTTGCTCTGATTGGTTGAGGGTCTATCTAATTGTGTCCAGACGCATTTTGATCTATGGCCATTGATAAGTTGGACACTGAAAATTTACTAGGAGGTTCCAGATTAACTCACACTTGCAATTTGACCTGGAGATGTCAGGCTACGGAAAAAGAGAAGTTCAACAAAATCCTTTTCTTTAAAATTGATCTACAAACCAGCAGTCAGGCAGATCATTCATATTTTTGAAATGCTACAGTGGTACATGCTGGTAGCTGACTGTAATGTGTGTGCAGAACTCTAAATAAAACAATATAAAAATAAGGTTAAGTCTTTGTATACCTCTATCTTCATGGCTTTGGGCTGCACCACATGGATCTTGTTCCTGTAGCCACACCACACCTTGTCATGTACGACAGTCATGCAGCGGATAGAGTGGTGTTGTCTCCCCAAGTCTAACAGGTGATAGTTGGTCAGGTCCCACTGTCCGTCTGCCACAAACAAAGGAAGTGAAGATACACGGTTATATTTACAGATAAAACCTGCATCAGGTTGTTTCTATTAAAAGAAGTTGTTGGGGCGTCGGTGGCTTAGTGGTAGAGCAGGCGCCCCATGTACAAGGCTGTTGCCGCAGCGGCCTGGATTTGAATCCAGCCTGTGGCCCTTTGCTGCATGTCATCCCCTCTCTCTCTCCCCCTTCATACTTACCTGTCCTGTCCATTAAAGGCAAAATGGCCCAAAAAATATCTCTTAAAAAAAAAAAAAAAAAAGAACTTGTTGAAAAGCTTGTGCTCGCTCACCTACTCCTCTGTGGAAAATGGCTAATGTGCCATCAGAAAGACCCACCAGGACACGCCCTTTCACATGCCTGTGGGACAGACACAAAACCAGCTGTTTAACATTTCAAAAAGAAGCAACGTGAGAGAGAAACACACATTTGTCACTTGTAATGCACTTACACTATGCCGAGCACAGAGTCCTTCAGCTTTATAGAGTGGAGACACTTCTTCCACTGAGCCACAGAGGAGTGCACGTACACACTAGAATCAGAAAAGTTTTCTCAGTCATCAGATCTCTTGAACTCTGCTCATGGACATAACTGTGCTGGGCAGCTGAAATGTAAATCTCACCATCCATTCTGTGCCCCGAGCCACATAGTGGGCAGAACGCTGCTCATTTTCTGAGCCTCCTCTCTCATCAGGTCCTGCTCCTCTGCATTGGGGTTTGAACTCACACCATCTTTCAACAGATCACTCTCCCTGCTCATCAGACAGAATCACTTAGCATTATCAGAGAGGCTGCGTTTGTATCATTTTCCTTACTTTATAACTATATGTGCTAGTTCTGTGTCTGACACAATATTTTAGAGCTTAAGTGATGGCGAGAGGCAAAACACACACTGCCAAACAGCAATGTAGCTCCAGAATTGAACATGAAAGTTTAATGTAATGCAGTAATTTACCATCACAGAAACATGTCCGCAGGTTTCATGAGCAAACAGTAACTGCTTTACAGTGATTTGATGTTGTTGCTCAGTGGGTTTGTTTATGGTCGTATTGATAAAACTGGCAGTTTTATTGGACAGGCTGAATTGTAACAACATTGGGTAGTGTAATTGGCCTCCTGGTGTTACCTCTGAGAGTAGTTGGCTGGAGCCTCCGCTGTCTGCTGAGCTCCCAGTGGATCGGTGAAGACGTGCTCGGTGTAGACTCCCCTCAGGCTCTCTCTTTGGTCAGCAGGCCCTCCGCTGGCCTCTGTCGCCTCGGTGGCTTCCTCTGCTGCCCTGGATTCTGTGGAGAAAATCATCTTTGAGCAAACTTGGCCAACTCATACGTGTAGGTAATGTTCATGGTGTTATTTCAGCTTTGTTACTGTAGGTGCCAGATGGGTGGAATATACAGTATGGTCATGCACTGATAACAGAGCATGTCCTTCCCTCACTAAACTGCTGTGCATGTCTCTTTCTTTAGAACTGACAGTTATCACATCACCATACTTTTCCTAATCCAGTTGACCACATGATCAATTGTGGGTGAAACAGTCTGTATGTATCAAGTACCTCAGAGTAGGAAATCCCCCCCCACCCCAAACCAGCTAAAAATCTTCACAGTGACACATTTTGGGCCCTACTTTTAGGCCTAGAAGTAAAAGCAGTTTATCAACTCTCTCCTGTCAAACTGTCATGTTCTCAGCAACTGTTACATACAACTTTTAAACAGTATTGTCTGTCACAATCAAAAAAATTTAACTATGAGAGACGATGCTTTTACCAGTGGCTGTGTGAACACACCCCTATATAAGAAATGGCTGGTGGTGTCAGACGGCATTTGGACCAGACTGAGATTGCAAGAGCAGTTCAACTGTTGAAAGATGATGAAAAGGTTCGAGCGGTAACAGTTTGACGGGTCTCCAAGTGTGCCGACTACAGAGACATTTCCCAGAAACTGGGAAATACAGCAAGAGACAAGGACAAGGTCGTTTGCAAATGACATCACCTAGAGACCATTATCTCGTCCCCTTGTCTTGTCAAAAACTCGCAGGAGTACAGCTTGATTCTTGGAAACTGACTTCCTCCATGCTACTTTAGTTCACTTATCCAGACAGACTGTTAGGAACTGAATGAATGACAACAGTATGAGAGCCAAACCAACGGTCACAGGCCCTATTCTCACTGCAGAGCAGACGAGTACTCCTCACAGATGAGAGCAGGTTTACTGTTTCTACTAATGATCGGCATGTTAGAGTTTGGAGATGTCAGGGAGAGCAGTGTGCTGACTGCAACACTGTGGAAGTTGATGGGTACAGCGAAGGTCCTGTCACAGTTTGGGCTGGAGTGTTAATAGAAAGCATCCGTTTTTGTATGACTGTTCCTTAAAGGTCAAACTGTATTAATGTTATTATTTCTTGAATACTGTATTTTATTTAACAAATGCAACCACACAATATGCTATTCTGGTAATAAACAATAATAATTAAATTATATCTGTTCCTTTAAGTTTTTTGAGTAGTGTCTTTTTTCAAACTGTTTTTTTTGTCACGAGTAGTTTCACGCAGAATGCAAATATGACACAGTAAAAAGCAGCTGGATGTGATCTCAGAATGAGTTGATTTTTGCTAAAAGTAAAAAAGGGCATCAAACAGTTACATTTTGTTGAATGGACGTCCAAGGGCGTAGGTTTGCATATGGATGGTAGGGACATGTAGCAACCAATATTTTGCGAGGACGCCACCAAAATTTGAGCCAACTTGTTGGCATTATCCTCATTCTAACAGATCTGTGTACAAAAATACGGGACAAAAGGCAGCTCACACTGATTCAGTAAGAGACAGTGCAGTTTTATCTTTTAAATTTGGGACAATCACATATTATGCCTGATCACAAGTGTTTTCAGTGTTTCAAGTGTTCACTGCTGCTTAAACTTTTGCCTTTTCCAGAGAGTCCTAAAGAGGGCTCTGTGTCTGTCGGATGGTCTAAAGACAGTCTAAAGGGGATACTATGATATCAGCAGAGGAATAACAATGCACAGTGGACAGGAGGATTTTTTTCTTAAAACAATTTGACTTTATTCTTATTAAACAAGTTTTTTTTGTAATCTTTCAACTTTTTTTCTCAAAATATAACTTTGACCACTCAGTGAACATATGGGATATGTTTTGGGCGTGCAGAAAGTTTTGAACATGAGCAGAAATGTTGCTGAAACACATATGCCCTAATATAATCCAGGAGTTGAATTAATTAAATTGAATTAATTTATGTGAATGGGTTACCTCACCCCACAAAAGACACAAAGGAAGACAGAAGAGTAAATCATGCCTCCATGTGCCTTGACTTTAAATGAGAAAAGCTGGTCTACAATTGAACAAATGTTTGACAGCAAAACAAAATACCTGAGAGCCTTCCTGCATTATGTTCCATGAGCCTATTTTTATATTTTGAATCATCTTAATTTTGTTTTTCTTTACATAAATAAAGACATTTCCACCATAAATAAGCGCATAAAACTTCACCAGAATGTGGGATATGAAGTGTCCGACGCTCAAAATTTCCTGAAGGAGGACACCTAGATCCCCCCATTTATTATGCGATCCCACTAATGTTGAAATTAAACTACGCCCTTAGTCACAACATTGTGACAATGGCAGACTTTTTGCCACTGTCGCAAATTTGCATCACTGCCACTAAAAATAGTTTTGATGCAAAACATTTGCAGGTGACTATGTCTCATTTTCATGTTGTTAATCGTTACGGCCTCGGTGTATAAAGGTCTTAATGTATATGGCCCATTGGTAAAGATCGCTTTATGAGATTGTGATTTCACTCTCAGTGGGACTTCTAGAAGTGATTTTGAGAAATAAAATCTGACCCTGGTGACAGAGAGTGCGTGCTAATGCAAGTGGAAAAGGGATCAAACATTAAACATATCTGACCGCTCTCTCCGTCTTCTCCCGAACTGACTGCTGTCTGTGGAATAGCTGCTGCCCCCTCAGCTTCACAGCCAACGACAGTGATGCCTCCAAGCACACCATCACCACCTGCTGAGCTGCTATTGGTCGATTGTGAGCCACCATCCCCTGCTGGTCCTGTCTCGGAGTTTGGAGCTACTTCCTCACCAGCCGGGTAGTCTGTCTCTCTTGCACCTAAATAAAAACATACATAATAATCATTAAAAATAAAACATGATGTCCCTCGTAACTGGTGCAATTCCTATGTGAGACAGTGATGAGTATTTTGCACATAGATGTCAGTCATAAAATCCTCTCATCCTCTACATGGATTTTCCACGGCAGTCAGATGCGCATGTATTCATCAGCTGACCTGGAACACTGGCGATGCAGAGGACGTGGGAGTTACACACGAAGAAGCTCTCCAGGATGTTTCCAGGCTGGTTGGCATCAATGACAACCACTTTAGTGGTGGACTGGGTGCTGGTACAGATCCAAACCAACGACGACATCTCATCGTGCTGCTTCAACTCCTTCTGCTGATCCTGCAACAACAAACAAAAGAAGTAGTTGGTAATTATATGATTGTCTCTATCAGCATATGTCCTCACAGGATGGGATGCCAGAAGAAGCAGAGCCTGTGTGTGTGTGTATGTGTGCTTGTGTACCTTGAGTTCTTGATCCAGTTTCTCCAGGCTGCTCTGAGATCCGATTTTCCTTTTAGGGGTCTCTGGTCCAGGCACATCGCTGTAAAACACACTGGCTCCTACAATGGAGCCTCCGTCTCTGGTTTTACCTCCAGAGAGGTTCACACCAGCAGCACACCACAGCTGGAGCACAGATAGACAGAGTTACAGCAGTCAAACACAATGAGACACACAGGAGAATTAAAAATGCACACCACAAGGTGCAATACCTTCATAGAAGCATCTTTCTCATCCAGTGGTCTGAGGAAGACAGGCACGGGTAGATTCTTCATCTTACTCTCTGTCTGACCACCGTTGGCCTGAAAAGGTACAAACAGCACCAGTGCATTACAGCTTCTCTCTGTTGGAGCTTACATTCCAACAGTTCAACCATCATCTGAAGAGGAACAGACAATCTGAAGTAATGATAACACAAGACAATAAAAGCTACCGCCATCTCCTTACTTTATATTTCTTAGGCAGACTCCAGCCATAAGCCTGCACTCTGCCATCCTCCTTCTGGACGTGGGCTTTGACCTGCTGGTACTGAGCCCTCTTCTGCTCCCGCCTGGACACCACATTATCAGCTGCCACTCTGCGAGACAGAACAGCAGCTCACTGACAAAGATGTCTACTCTTGGACTGTTAGGTTTTCTACTAAAATAAACTTTTTTAATAATCTTTTCAGACCAGACATATGCAGAGCACTGTCGGTTACACATTGTATCTAGTTATTGCCAATGCTCTAAACATTTCTAGATGTCATGTCAATTAAACATGTTGTTTCACTGATGGGAGAGACCTTCTAAATGTGCCTTGACTCCTGCAGTTCCTCCTGCATTTGGTGCAGTAAAATGATGAATTGTTGTCTTTTAGTTCCTGTCCAGTTTGTGTTTACAATGACTTATCACAAACAAACCACAAGGTTTTAACATTACAATACACAAACTAAAAGGTCACTAATTTGTTGAAAAGTTCTGATGATGTCATCCTACATCAACAGTGGCTGCATTACAGTAAAGTGATGTAATTTTCTGAACATATCAGACTGTTGTAGCTGTTCTATTATTTGCCTTTACCCACTGAGTCATTATATCCACAATACTGGTGATTATTTATGAAAAATCTCACTGAGTCAATATTTTGTGGAGGCACCAAAATATTGTTGTAATATCAACACTGAGGTATTTAGTCAAAAATATTGGAATATTTGATTTTCTTCATATTGCCCAGACAGTTTAGGTTTGAAAGCAGCCCAAAATAGTTCAGCAGTCTGATCCAAAACTATGGAAGCCATCAGATTTTGTTTTAGCAGCACACAGATACGTATGCTTGAGTGAAATAAAAAATTTCAGATTGTAATTTAAATCTTGACATACCTTTTAAGAGCTGTTGTGCCTGAGATAGTTTGAGAAACCTGGTTTTGTTTTTTATCTATGCTTCTGAGTGAATACACCAAAAGGGACCAATACTGCCTCAGCATACACACATGAGAGCACATGTTTTCATTTAATTTCCCCTGACTGACTGACTTACTCCTCATTGAGGAAATCAAAGGCTTTGCTCTTGTCACTGGGCAGCTGCTGCAGGGCGCTGCTCCTCTTCTTGACGGACGGCTGGATCTGAGAGGTGGGTGCATTGTACTTGACGTTCACTGGAGCCTCCGCTGCCGGCTTCTTGGCCGCCCCGCCCGACGAGCTGAACAAACGGCTGAAACTGGAGGTGTAAGGGTGGGGAAGTGGGGAGGAACAAGAAAAAAGAAAAGCACACAGACAAACGTATAGAGGGGTGGACACAAGCAGCAGCTCCAGCGGCAGGAGTAAGGTTCAACATTTAAGGGTAAACAGGTTCCTTTCCCCATGCCAACACACCATGCCAGCTTTCATACAGGTAGCAATCAGGCATTATGTATGTTCCCATTGATCTGTCTCCTAAACAGCAAAGCACCAGAGCAGCTGTCCTCACAGAATGCTGGAGTGCAGGGTTATTATTGTGCACCGACTAGGATGTTAGTCAACAACACAGAGCAACACTGGACAGTAACACTTCAATTTCCCCCTAAGTCTACAGTGAGAGCACACGCTATTTATCACATTACACCCAACTGATGTTAAGCATGTTCCACTGGATACTTTTAGATTTTATTAACTATATGCCTATAAGTTTAGAGATGAGAAATAGGCTCTGCTAAGTCTATCTTTATGAGCATATTTGCTTTGTTTTGACCAACACCACCCATAAACCTGCATTCCCTCCCTTCCCCACAGCAACTCTATCAACACACCTCCTGCACACAGACATCACAACACCAGGCACAATATAGAGGGACAAACAGAAACAGGGCAGGAAAGATGGTGGATTTATCAGATTTTGTTTCCTTTACAGACTCCGTCCAAATCCCATTGCCAAAAACCTGCCCAAAATAATGTCCTCGTTCACACCAAACCAAACACATTCCTTATGAAACTCAACAAAAGGAGAGCCGGGGTCAGATAACCCAAATCCAGTCTTTCAGATTTCATTCCTCTGTGAGCAAACAAGTGCATTTTCTTAACCTCTAGAAAGCTTCCATCATGCTTCATGTTTATAACTTTCATTAAAGTTGAATAAAGAATTAAAGGCAGCTCAGATCTGGGATCAGAGCCACTGTTTCCTGGCTGGCTCTCCTCTGTTAAGAGTTATTGTCAAGATTAAAACATCAGAAGCCAGTCAAAGTAGACACCGTTAACATGTCAAAGATTTACCTACATCCTGGAGAAAACAACCACACAACATGGAATATAAAAGAAAAGCAAAATGGAACATAAATAACACAGTAGTCATACTGTGGTTGGTATTTGAGAGCTGAGGTGAAAAGAAAAGAGGCTCTTACAACTGCCAGAGGCTGGATTTCTTCTTCTCTGGAAGAGCCGGGTTCTCCTTTGAAGCCCTGTGTGTGAAACAATTCACTTTGAATCAAACTGAATCCTTACACCTTACAGTCACTTCCTTCATTTCTACTTGAGATTTCAAACCACTCTCAGCCAGTTTTGTTTCTATATTATAGCTTTGTTTTTTCCCTTTGTGGCTGGAGTGTGTGCGTGTTACAGATTCCTCTACTTCATATGGTCCACTGCTTGCCTCTGTCCCTTCTGTCTCACCTGATCATCTCTGTCCATCTGACAGCCTCCTGCAGCTCCATCAGCCTCTCCTTATACTGGTTCCTCTCCATCAGGACTCTGGCCATCTCCACCCTGGTGAAGCGTTTCCTCTGTGCTGTGGGCACGTCACTCTGCTGGTACACCAACATCAACGTTTCCAAGTGTTATTGTTGGTGTTACTGTTGCAAAGTTAACCACATCGCTTTCAGTTTTCTTTTGAGTCTAGAAGCTACCAAGTACTTTGGTTGCTCCACCATCTGTCATTTCCACTACTGGGGATAGTAACTTCAAAGTTGGGATTTGGGGATAGCTACCAGGGAAAACCAAAGCGCTAACCTCTTCCTGTTTTGGTTGCTTAATGGTTGACACACTTCCTTTACATTTACTTCAAAATAATGAAGCACAAAAACTTATATTTACACCTTAAAATCAAATCTTCATTATCATGGCTACAAAGCTTTTTTAATGGAACACTGAAGGCTTTATGCTGTGGATTAATTGGCACTGATATGGTCATACTGAAATATACGTAAACAGGGCAGGTAGCATTCCTCAAGAACTTGTACTGCTCTAATCCACACAGGTGTATCACACACTCAGATCACAACAAATATCAAGGACTCACATCATCCTCATTGTCATTCTTGACCTTCTGTTTCGCGTCCTCAAGCTCTGTTCGAAGCCTGCAAGCGAGCACACAATTTCTTTAGCAACCACGTTTACACAGTATACACTCAAATGAATTATGTAGACTGGTGAGCAGTTGGGTTTGCATTTATGTGTTGTATAGCTTAAGACCATCCAACTCACTTCTTGATTTCTTCCTCTAATTCTTTGTTCTTGTCCTCCAGTTTGGTCTTGGCCTGAGTGACGGCATTTAGCTCGCCGCGCAGAGCCTCCCGCTCACAGGACAGCTCATCCATTTGTGATATCAGGTCGTTTTTCACCACATTCAAAGCATTTCTGAAAACAAATACACAGCGGTGTTTATGTTCACTCTAATGTGATATCTACATTAAACACAAGGTGGCAGCACTGTCCTGTTTTTAAAAATGTAACAGGAAGGATAATTCTGTTTTCATGTATTCATGAGTGAACTCATTTTAACTTAGTATTTATATCAATCTTTAGAATTAAGTGCTACAGAGGAGCTTCATATTATTTCCCCATACTAAACTGTTCTTTTCTGATGTCTAAAACATTACAGTTCATTTTTCATTGTGTTTTATGGGCATTTTCGTGATGCATCTCTCAACTTCTATAAAGTAGCAGGTGACTGACAGCTACCCGGAAACATAAACTTGTAAAAATATATCTTTTTTTAAGGTCAAGTGCATTGTGTTGTCAATGAGTAATGCTTGTTTAGGGGCAGCAAAATGACTGAATCATGGTGATCCTTACTCCAAGCTTCACTCTGAGGATAATGTTATGGTAGGCTATTAGTTTGTTTTGCTTTATTTAAAAAAATGTGAGGGGTTTCTGCAACAAAATATTGTCTTTCACATAACATTATCCCAGTAACATAATAGAACACTCAGATTACCATTCTGAGATGTACAATGTCATCAATATATTTGAAGGGATGTCTGTGCCCTTGGCTGAGCACCATTGTCGTCCTGTATGTGTTTTTAACCTTGAGACATGCAACCTCAGTGACTTTGACATATTTACACAGGTCCTTTTTTTAACCTTTTTTGCCATCTTGCTTCATCTGAAGTACTCTGAAAGCACAGGTCAATAAGGGATGGTTCACATCAGCTTGTGAAGAGATGAGTGTCAGTAGCCAATATTTTCATGTGTTCTGTATAGGGCTGTGTATAGGCAAGAATCTAGCCATATGATATACATCACAATACGGTGATTATGATTAAATATTCTGCAATACTGTAAGCAAGGTGATGATTGCAAGTTTTTAAAATCTAATTCTAGGTCACAGTATGAAGAGCACATCACTGTATGCATGAAATCTGAGTCAGAAAAAGGTGACTTTTTTATGCAATCAAAACACTAGGATGTGCATTTGTATTTATCGCAGTCTTTGTTAACACACTGCTGATGTGTTGTTACGTTGGGGTGAAAGAGTCAAATGGCTGAAGATAAATACCAACACTGCTATCTAGAGGTCAGAGGCTGAACACATACAGTATCACAAAACATCATGATACTCAAGTGTATTGGTGTTTTCCTCACACCCCTACTTTTATACAGAACAAGGCACAGCGAACCAATGACTGACAACTCACTGAGGGGAAAATCTGACTTGTAGTAGCCTCTGTGCGGTCTATGTCCACATGGCGTTATTTTCTGAGTGCCAGTGTCTTTTTTTTTCAATTGTTCCCAATGCGGAGAGAGCGTTTGCATCCCCATAAGGCTGCCTAGAAGTAAAGTGCTGCACCCAGCACCTTTTTTTCAGAGTGTTCCAGCTTATTTTAATGCAGCTGCCTTTAGCTGAAATTTTCAGAAAGGCACTGGTGATGTCACTGCTGCTCCTTTAGCTACTTTCTATCCCAAGTTGTATGATATGTCATTCAGAAACTATTACAACACAGCCCATTTGCGGGGGCAGATTGGCTGGACACCAAATGCTGCTGGTGATCAGTGTTGTGCTTTTACCACTGTACGCACCATAAGATTGTTGTTAGCTGTGTAGCCAAAAGTCCTTTTTCAGTTTTCTGGATGCTTATACATACAAAGAGCAGAGATGGCTTTAAAAAAGTAAAAGAGTACTAACTTGGTCTCCAGCAGCTGGGCATTCTCATGGATAAGATGTTCGACTTCGCGACCCATACCTGAAAATGACAACTTATAATGTAAATACAGACTGTTTCAACTCAGCATGTGCTCCATCATAAAAGGAATAATAAGAATATTATTGCAAAATCGCATCAATAAAGAAGTGTTTATGTATATTCTACACACAAACATATTGTTCTCTCAGTCTTACCTAGAAAGCTGTAGTCTGAGAGTCATGCCAGAGAGTCGGGAAGAAGTTTATACGACTGTAGGTAAGTTAAATGGTCTCATTTAAACATCTCTAGTCTATAGTATTACTGCTCTTCACAACACAGCAGCACTATTCACTATTCTGCTCATCCTTAAGAGGGTCACAAAGGGGACCGGAAAACTACACAGAATCAAGAACACAAATGAAGTGAATAAAGAGCTGGTTACGAGATCTGCAGGGAATTCATTAATACACACCAGAAAACTCATCTGCGAGGATGAGAGAGCCCAACAGCCAAAGAAAAAACAATTCAGAGAATGCAACAAGAAAGGAAATAGTTTGTAAAAGTAGAGATGATGAAGAAACAATAACATCGATTCAGGAGGCTTCTTACCCAGCAGGTCAGCTCCTTCATCCATGTCTCCTATCAGGTCGTTTCCTGCAGATGACAGCTCCTCAAACAAAGAGTCAGTGTTGCGGTCGAACGCTAGATTCTCGATGCCACCTTTAGTTGGTGTGCTGGATAGACAGATGAGGTAGGGGAAGATAATATGAAACAAGAATGGGAGAAAATGATGATTAGCATGATGAAAGGGGCATGATGTTGCAGTATGATTAAAAACACTTTGGTACAAATGGATGCAAATTGGAATTACACTGAGTAACAATTGTTGGGCAGTCAATCTGAATCTACATGTTTTTCTTATTTTCAACAAACCCAATGAAAACACCAAAACACACAATGACACAGAGCTCCACTGCTGCCCAAAACAATTTAAAAATGTGTTGGAGGTATCAGCCGACAGCCGTAGAGATGTCTGCCTTCTTTCCAATATAAGTGAACTAGATGGCACTCGGCTTGTGGTGCTCAAAGGACCAAAAAAATACATCTGAAAAACTCAACAGCAGTGTCTCTTTTCAGAAATCATGACCTGGTTACTCAAGATAATCCACAGACCTTGTGGTGAGCAGTTTCATGTAGAAATTAAAGCTGCAAGCAGTGATTAATAGGCCTTCCCACCTTCCCACAAGTTGGTAGGATGCGTGTCTCAGATGCAGTTCGATCATCAGACATGTTTGAAACGTACTGACGATGTAACACATTGTTGGTTTTGGTCTTTTAATGGGATTTGTAGTAAGAAGAAACATATAGACCGATGCCCACCTTATCCTTTAACATTTCCTGAAGTTTAGGGTAATGATGATTGAAAATCTAGTCATCAGTCCTGTACCTCGTTCCTTTGCAGCCATCGAGGTCCATGTCCAGCTCAGGAGTGGACTCAATGATGGCCTGCACCTCAGACTTCTCCAGGTCGTCTGCTCCATCTAATACAAGCAGCAGAGATAGAAAACAGAAGAATGAGTGAGTTAGTACACTCACAGCAGGTAACAGATGTTAGCTACTAGTTCTGTGTTGTTTTAACTGCACTGCAGACCATCACCTTTGAGGGGTGCAGAGACTTGACCATCATGTCCCAGCTGACCCTGCTGTCCTCCTTGTACCGCTGCAATGTTCTTACTGCTCTCTGGTTTTCCACTGTTGCAGTCCAGGTTCTTGTTGAGCCTGTCTGAAACTTCCTGCAGGGGCGTGTCCACAGACTCCAAGGCAACATCAGAAGCAGCAGTAGACAGGGGTGTTGCAGACCCTCCACCTAGACTGGACACAGGACTCATTCCAGTGGATGCTCCATCATGAGGAGATAATGGTGTGGTGGACTGAGAGTTAGCGCTGTATGTAGATGTGGGGGTGTTTGATTTAGAGGTGCCACCCTGAGAGGACATGAGGGTGTTGGATTTGGAACCTCCGCTTTGTAAGGACGAAGAAGTTCCACTTTTGGAGACACTTCCCTGATTGGTTTGAGCACTGGACTTGGAGCCTCCGCGGTTCGAACCAGCCAATTCATCCTTGAGATGAAGGAAGATGAGATGTAGAGAAACAGAGTCAGGGGATAACAAGAAAATCAAGAAGAAAAAAACAGTTAAAAATTGAGCGTTTCAAAATGTTTTTGAAATTTCAGTGGACTATAGAAAAAGATATTAATAGAAACAAAGAACAGTGTGTAATTTTTGAACGTGGGTGGGAAATTTTGAGCTTGAGTGAAGGCTGGTCTTAATAACAGAAATTGTGGTGACGGAAGGCCTTTGTTTATTCTTGTTTATTTTTGTTTGTTTATCTTTTTTGCTATTTATCTATTTATTATTATTATTATTATTATTATTATTTTCCTCCTTGAAATCTAATCTCTTTAAAAACTACAACAGGAAGCCAATTTATCTTTGTTCTCTTTTTGATCATTAAGTCTTTAGGCTGCTGTTTGTCCTGTTGATGGTGGTCTCTGTTTTTTGTGTGTTTCTGTGAAGATGTATGTTTTGTTGTTTTAATGCCTTGGTTTTGTAAACTGTGTGCTATGTGTTCTATATCTTTAGATTTGTTTGTGTCTTGTCCCTGTATTTTGTTGCTGTTGTTGTTTTTTGTTTAATTAAAAAAAAAAAAAAAAAAAAGAAAATCAAGATAAAACTAAAATCTTATTATTTGTTTAACATTGTGAAGCTCCCACATTTTAAGCTATAAATGCAGGTAATGTGCAGCACATTCATGTATGCAAACCAAACACAGAACCAAACTGTGATCAAGCCAAACATATCAAAATCACTCCATTCCCAAAGTGAGGACAACACTGACCTTGACTGTAGTTTGGAAAAATAATCCTGTGTCAAAGTCCACTTACTTAGCTTTTTCTGAAGCTTTCAACCATGACTGAAGTTCCATACTGAGGTACTTTATGTCTGCTGCCAACTTGGAATCAGCTGTGACTGATTTGGGTCTTCTTATGTGTTTTCCGAAGTAGATTGAATGAGTTACAGTAAAGTGCATTAGGTTGTAGAAACTTTAACTAAATATCTGCCTCTATGTGATCCAGGAAATGTTGATTGGATTTCTTTGTATACTGTGGTTCTTAATGGTCTGTAACTGTTACATGTTGTTAGTCTTCATACCGAAATAACACCAAATGTGTCAAACACTGTGAACATTGCCATGCAACTCAAACCAACACAAACAGCAACCAACCAGGACACTCATCCATTATAACAAGCCAAACTATGCTGTGAGGGTCTACTATAAAAACAAAATGAGTTCAGCAGCTTTAAAATCACACAATTTGGAACCAGCTGAAGATACAAAAAGGCAACAGGTTGGCATCATGCAGTTTCATTTAGATATGAGGTAATGCCATTATGTTAGCATCATATTATTTAATCACACTGCAGCAAACTCTGCAACACAGCTACTAAACTTGATAAGTATAGATACGGTGGATGCCATGGTTACAGTGATAGACAGGTCTACCTGGTCCTCATCAGCCTCCTGATTGGGTAAATTCTCCTGCGAACTTTCACCTTCCACTCTGACTGGGGAGAACTGTTCCTCAAACTGAGGGATATTAAAGACCTTGCTCATTAATATTTCTGAATATCCATTCCTTAAAACAAATAAAAAATAAACCAAACCAATGCCATGTGTTGTATACAGATTGTAAGGATGTTGCAAGAGCTCATTTTCATTAGCACTGATCTAAATGTGTCCAAGAAAGCAAATCAAAGCTGTGGGGAAAGCCTGAACTCCATGAGTGATCTGGGTAGTGAGCAGTATTTATGGCTGCTGTTGGTACACAAGGTGACCTGGTTGGCAAAGGCTTTCTTACATGAATGAAAATGAACTGGATTTACAGTACCAATTAATCACTCTAAGGTTCCATCAGCTCTCTGCAGCCCTTTGCGCTATGCAGAATTTCTAAGCCTGTATTGTTTTGATCTGTTAATGCCAGCAGCTTTGGTTCTATAAATAGCACAGCTGCCTGATGGAAACAAATCAATCGGGACAACAACAAAGCATCCATACGGGGTCACCTTGAAAACAGAAGAGGGGCAAGACTTTAATAACACGGGAGTATTTTAAGGTTTCACAGACATTGAATATGATACTGCTAGAGAACTGTTTCTTTCCCAAAAGTACTCCCTATTTTTGTGTCTGGTTCGTCTCTCTGAACACCGATGGGAGTGTTTTCTTTCAAATCTCTTGTGTGCATGCTGCCGTCACTCTATTGTTGCTACAGTAGCACTGAGCAGCCAATAGGGGGAAAGTTTCCCTCCATTGCTACTCTGCTGATAATGGCTCTTCCCCTAAACCACACACACTCTCTCTCTCTCTCTCACTCACACACACACACACACACACACACACACACACCCCTTCATATGGTGGGAGGGGATGGGATCACTGACTGTAAATCTTTGGAAAATGTCAAGTCAGCGGAGAAAACACAAAGGCACTGCTGTGTATCTGCACTGGGGGTGCCTGGGAAGACTGTCTGTGTAAAAGTTGAGTGAGACAGATGTACTGCGACACCTATATTGTACTCCAGGACTCAAGGTGAGGTGCTCAGAGGGACTTAATGAATTATCAACCACCTTGGCTGGCAGTTATGAAACAATCCAACACAAGAACATGGGTCAAAATAAACACTGCCAAAACCCAAAACATTTCCCCCCTTACACTTTCTATCTGACCCTGTACTAGTGTAATAACAGCAAATGAATACTTATTAGGGGCTCATTAATAGTCATGATGGAGCCTTGCTTGCAGCATGGTTTCCAACAGCAACAATGTGAAGACACTCTGTCCTTTCCACCCTCCCTTGAGGTTAAAGGCAGGCCCCCGAATGGTACCACTTCCTCTGCTTGCTGGGCTCCCAGCCACCCCGTTACACACACAGGCTACTGCTAAAAATTCTGGACACACTGAACAATCCTTTCTCTCTGAATAGAAATGTACTCTTTCGTTGGTGTGTGCTGCCATTGAGTGTTTGCATTTTGTTTCCACAACCTCTTTTAAATGAGCAGGGGATGATGTCACTACTCCAAACCGTGGGAAGCACGACGAGCCAACCTCAGACAGTAACTTTACACTTTACAACTAAGGACGTCTTTCTTTTACATTCATCAAGTTCTCAAAGCAGGACTGATTTATATGTGTGTGTTTAAGTGTGTGTCATACCTTGAGGCTGGTGTTGGATCGTGGATGGCTAAGGTTGTTGAATCTCCATGGCTCAGAGGGGGTGTCCACGGGTTCCCTCTGGAGTTCAGGGGTCATACCATCAGTCCCAGGAAGCTGGAATATGCCCATGGAGATGGGACGCTCCTTTCTGGATACAGAGACAAAAGAAGGAAGGATGATTCAAAAGGAAAAAGAGCAATTCTGAAAGAAAGGAGTTGGCCTGCTGGTGAAGTCATTCTTACGTAATTAGAACACAGAGAAAACAAGATTAATGCAGGCTGTCTTAAGTCAGCCTTTTTCTTGACTTGAGGTTCCACTACAATCAAACATGTTGAATATCATTGTAAGTTTTTAGTCTTGGCTTAGCAAATACTGAAATTCAGTGAGGTGAACATTGCCAACAACTAACAGGTGTGCTCTTTCCAGCACCAAACAAGAAGTCTTGGTTTTCTTGGACTGTGGAAAAGCAGGAGAAACTGGTGGAGTGAGTAAGAGTCGGTGTTTGATTCAGCGTGAATCTGATCCACTTATTTTAGTGAGCAACCTTAATTTGTCGAAACTGTTCCCCTCTCATTCCCACGGTCTCATCCCACTAAAATGGCGCAGCTAACCAACGGAGGTGGGCAGTGAGTTGAGGCACCAAAATCCAAAACATAAAGTTGGACACAAATACAGTTTATCGTCATGAATTATACTGATACCAAATTGACATGAATACTTTCAACATATGATCTTTTTTTATCTTGTGTTTTCTAGAGTTATCGGTTTTTGAGAACACGTAAGGAATTGTTAATGTCATACTTCTGAAAGGGAGTTTGGCGTAATATTTTCCACCAGGAGCATGATGGGAAATACTCTCAAAAGGAATCTAGTTGTCTTGAAAATAGTGACCCTACAAAATCCTAGGTCTTTGCAAAATCTTATACTGTGTGACATAAAACTCTCATTGTCTTTAGCTGCAAGAAGGTGTCAGACTTAAGTCTTTTCAAAGTCTTTAAGAGTCTAAAGCCATCCTACTAGCAGCTCTATGAGGCTGCATTCAGGCACAGCAGTGCTTTGAGGTACATCAGGGCTCAACAATAAGGATTGCCCAATTTCTCGGGGCAAGTAAAACTCAAGGTCGGGCATGTAAACTAACAACTCACTTGCCCGATTGGGCAAGTTGCTAGAAATAGTAAAATTTAATAACTAATTGATAAAATAAATGTATTTTAAAACGTGCTCCTTCGGCTCTGATGCAGCTGTCTCTCTGCCTGAAGTCACAGGCACACGTAACAATGTCCTGCCCACAGCCCCCATTGATATTATTTTGCGCGACGGACGTTTCATATAATAACATAACAATATACTATTTATGGTGTTATGTCATTGTGTCATTTGTCTCTACATGGTCACGCATTAACAATTCTCCTCTGCTCTCTGTATGGCGCAAGGCGGAGTTCTGCCACACACACAGGTGAGCATGCTAGAGCGGCTCGGGCTGCATTTTCCTGACCAAACCTGACCCCGAGCCCGGTGCAGTTTGTCAGCTGACAAAGTTATTGTTATGGACAGTGTGTAGCCTAAATAACCATCAACAGACTGCTGTTACGCACAGACGAGCAGTGTAGCACGGCACTCATGCTGAGCTTGTGTTGCATTCAGGCGTTGTCACGTAAATAACAACTTCCAACACTTAAATAGGTCATAGCACAAAACAGCAGCATGTCAAGTGACTTTTTACTTTATTATATTCAATACAATTGTATGTTCCTAAATCTTGAGACACCTCATATGTAAGCTAGACAGACATTTCACCTGCTCATTACTGTGCACACATGTACTGTATGTACTTAGTCCTAAAGAGCCCTTCTGGTGCCAGTAGATACATAGAAACATCCCAGCAGGCTGTGCTTTGCAAGCATACAAAAAAGTTTCACACATGTGAAAATTATTTTTCATGTGTGTGCTTCACCTCCGCTGCTACAACTCCATCCTAGGGGAAACACTGCTGTGTGCGTTTTGTGCAACAGGTGGATGTGGTAGTCTACTGGTAGAGTAGAGAGAGAGCTAAGTAGCGTTGAAGTAGAGTAGAGCAGGGCAGAGAGATGGAAGCAAAATATATTAAAGCAAAATATATTAAACCCCTCTCTCCAGCAGAACTGGAGAGAGGGGTGAAAAATAAATAGAGGTGGGCATGGCTCAAGTAGGGCGCAAAATTATAGACGGAGAATGATTGACAAATTTTTCACTTTAAGCCGTGACACTGTCATATTTGTACAGGAATTAAGCTACAATACATGACATATGTTGTTTTAATTAATAAATACAGTATGAATAAAGATTACATAACATAAAAATAACTGCAGTCTTTGTTATTTGATAGCCGCTTAAATTAAACAATTTTTATAGGGCAAGTAAAAACTGACTTCGGGCAAGTAGATCTCTGACCAACTTGCCCAACTGGGCAAGTGAAAAAAAAACCTTAGCGTTGAACCCTGTACATGCTAATGTAGACAGGCTAGCATGCTGATGTTTAGCCACAGACTGTCTAAAAATAACTGAAAGTAGCCACCGTGGCATCACCCATTGGTTTGAAGCCTCAAGTTTAACATTTTGGCCATTGCCATTTTGCATTTTTGTAGTTGGAAATCATCATATTTGGATGAGAGGGTGGAGCTGTGCAGGAGTGAGGGGTGGATCTGAGCTGACGTTTTGATACAGATTATTACTCAAAGCAGTCATGCTAAGCTAAGCTATAGAGACAAAAAAAACGTTTTTGTATCAGACTGAAAACATGTTTGTTTCTGCTGTAAAGTTGGGCATTTAATATGGGGGTCTAAGGGGACTGTCTCACTTTTGAGCCAGCCTCAAGTGGTCTTTGAAGGAACTGCAGTTTTTGGCACTTCATGTTGGCTTTAGTTTTCAGCCCCGAAGTTTGCCGCTTGTGTTTCTCAGGTAATGTTAACTACGGTCACAATCTTACTTAAGCATGTTAGCACGCTAGCATGAGGGGGACATGGATGTGTGTACTAAATGTCCTAGCAATCCATCCAATAGTGGTGAGGACATCTGACTTAAAACCACAAATGTCAACTTCATAAAGGCGCTAGAGGAAAATCAAGTGATAACAATGTCAGTGGGATACATCATCTGGGAACCATGAATGTCAGCACAAATTTATTGCCACTCCATCCTGGAGATACTGAGATACGTCACTGGTGATGTATGAACAAAGGATTCTTCCTCTGGGTACAATGGATATTTGTACTGAACTCTGTGGCAATCCATCCAATAATTGTAAAGATATTTCTGTCTGGACCGAAGTGCTGGACTGTCCAACCCGCAGACAGACCAACATTTCCATTGCTTCAGCTGCCAGTGTGCCTAAAAACATAAAGAATTCCTTTGGTGGTAAAGAAGACCTTCAGCAACTAAAGACGTCCTCACAACAGGTGCAAGAACATGTGATTTATACTGTGCAATAAAAAGTGCATAGTATGGGATATATTCTATACTATATAAACCAGGCTGGAAAAGTTCTCAGTTTAAATGTTCTGACTCTCCCTCTCTCCATGCTGACAGAGAAAGTGACACTTGGTAGAAAATTATAGTGTGAAGAAGTGATGAACAAAGTTTGGTGCAACAGCTACTGTACTTCACTAAGCCTGAAGTCACTTACATGATACATTACTAGTTCATTTTTTTCATTTTGCATTTTAATTTGTCTATTTTTCAGTGCAGTGGAAGCAGCTCGGCAAAATGTAATCAGTTAGACAAACTGAAACAAACTGTGTGACGAGCCTGAGTCAAGACTTCACAGAGAGGTGCTGTAGCAAAGGCTCCCTTAGGACAGTTTGTCACTGGAGTGGTGGAAAGACAAATAGAGCTGGTTGCCTCATTAACTCCATTACCTCCCACCTATTAGCTCAGGCAATAACACAGAGCCATTTATATCCATCTTTATGGCTGGAGATGTATTTTGCCATGTGTGTTATTATAAGCTGAGCTTAGAGACACACAGAGGCAACGACACATGGGTATGAACAAATCTCTGTTACCATCTCCAGCTCTCACGAATCACCTCATTCTTGCATGGAGGTGTTCAAATCCAAACACCCATTTCACAACAGCTCCAGGAATACATTGAAATAAACACACTGCCCCCTCCACCGCATCAGACCAGGTACACTCCAGCAGCTATTCCCTCTCCAGTGGCTAGGTATGAAAAAAATACTGTACAGTCGAGCAGAACAATGGCTGCCACTGAAAAGAACAGCCGGCAGGCAGCGATGAAAAGCAGCAGCAGCCCCAAAAACAATGGACACACCACCATATTGAGAGGATGAGGTCACATGCTGGCCACTGATGGTGACCAATGCTGCCTTTTGTTATTTGAACTGATGGGTGAGGGCAAATCACATGCTCGTCCATGAGTCCTCCACTGCTGCCTCATCTTGGAAAAGATGTGAATTAACTTGTGAGAATAATCATAAACAGAAATAAAATCAGGTGAAATGAAAACATCTCAAGGTGGTTTCCCAGATATGACTCTGCTATTTCTCCCCATCTCTCTCTCTCTTGACCTACTTTTACGGTGCAGTCTCACATTGTCAAACTATAACACACCCACATGGCAGCAACATTGCGACTGCATGGCTACAAGCTGGTTACAGAGATGCAGATAAGAAGAGATACATTAAAATAAGATAAATTACACACATAAATAACACACATTGAGATAACATACACACACACATATACCTGCTGGCTCTGGGTAAGGAGGGTAAGGAAGGCAGGGCAGGTAAGCCGCCGGTAGAGACAGAGTAGTGAACCAGCAGCAGCACAGACAGAGAGACCAGTACAGCAGAGTTGATGACCACCGCTCCCCCTACAAAGCCAAAAACAAACAGCAGCATACACCCGGGGCTCATGGCCCCCCCAGATCATGGCCCAGTGCCTCGACAGAGACCAGGAGGTTGGGGGGCTCAGACGATGACGGCAGATGAGGTGGGGGTCACTGAAACACCAAATTCACCTTGGCACACCTCTGACTGGACATCAACCACTTTTTATCTACCGCTGAGGTCAAAGATGCTGTATCCTTCCAGCTGGGAAACAGCAGCAAAGCAGTGAGCTTTTTATACCGCAGCTCAAAGGCAGAACAATGTGCCAGCAGCAGTCACAACAACAGTAATCCTGGTGGCTTCAGCAGCAGCGATTGATTAAAGCAGAGCAGCAGCAGACAGCAGAGCAGAGCAGTAGATCATCCCCAGAGAGCAGAGGGAGGCTGGCAGCAGCAGCTCCTCTCCTCCAGCGTCTTCCTCGAGCAGGTGATTTGGTTTTTTCTCCTTCCTTCACCCCACTGATCCTCAGCCGAGATGCGACGCGGCTGCCGCTGTGCAGTCTAGAACACTCTGACGCTCTCCCTCTCTCACTCTGATGGCACCCGCCACCCCTCCCTCTCCATCTCCCTCTCTCTTTTGGGTGCTGAGGCAGCTCGTTTCATATGCCTCTTCTCAGGCTGCAGCTTATTGGCTGCAAAACAGGGAGACTGACAAAAAGTGTGTGCGTTCGGTGTGTGTGTGAGGGAGGGAGGTTGGCAGTGTGTCTGCATTAACTGGAGGGATTGTGAAGGACTAGGAAACACAGGGGGCTGCCTAAATGCACAGATAAGGTTTCATGTTTTATAGTTTTACAACAGTGAATCACTTAATGTAGTTAGTATGCACAAATGTCACACTGAAAACAAGTTTCTACAAATAAACCTCAAGCAGACACATATTGTCATATCAATAAGGGCACAAAAATTTCCTCACAGGTGCAGCCAACTGGTTATACAAGCCGCATAGTAAGATGAATGAAGATCAACCAACAGCTGCTGATGTTCACATTTTTGGCAACATGAGTCGGTTCATGTCTATCGTGGCTATGATTGAGCTAAATACTTACATAAGTACGCTGGCATGCTCCCAATGACATTGCTAACATGCTGATGGCTTTGTTTAACATGTTAGCATGCTAGTATTTGCAGATTAGCATTTAACACAAAAAACTGCTGAGGGTGATTGGAAATGTCATTAGTTTTGCTGGTTTTTGTCATTAACCATGGTGTAACACAAATTGAAATTTTGACCTGATGATGGTGCCAGAGGAAAAGTCAAACAATGACTCAAGTTATTACAAGTTATTCTGGGGGAATGTGAATATTAGTTCCATTTCATGGCAATCCAAAGATATTTCAGTCTGAATCATAAAATTCAACCTCAAGCTGGTGCTAGATGAGAAGTCAGAGGTTCATGACTGTCATTAGAGTACAACCTCTGTGCACAATAAACATCTATAAAAAAGCATGCCATACATTCAACAGTTGTCAGGGTACTTCAGTCTGGGCTGACGTGGCTGACTGATCAAATGACTGATCTCTAGAGCCATGCTACTAGTGTGGCTCAAAAACACATCATGAGGACAAATGTATAAAAATATATATACACTGTTGAAAAGAATCAATCAGAGGAAGGAGACAATGGAATGCCCACAATACTAAAAACCCATCACAAAAATATCGCAGCTGTAAATCTGCCCCAAACTCATCTGGCACACATGATGTAGACTGTGGGTGTAAAGCTGTCATTGGCCCCTTATCTCAGATGTTTCTGTTTCATAATCCCACTTTTAGTGCTTCTTGTGAAACAACAACAACAACCTCTGAGCTAGCAACCTACATGCAAAAGCATCTTTTATATGCCGTTTTCTTTTACAGGGATTTAGCCATTTTAATGCCAGAGCTCACCTCCCCATGAGCAAATGTTCCACTAACACAAGTTCCGTCCTGAAAGTATTTTGCAAGAGTATTGTCGCTGCACCCTGGGCTTAGCACTGCCCAAAACAATAGTGATTGGTTCAAAGAAATACAACACACCCAGAGTGTTTTATCCCTTTATGCAGAATTATGTTGGGTTAAGCCAGAACTTTCTCCAGCACTGGCACAGAGCAAGATAAGTCTGGCTATGCGACACTAGCCTACAGCTAGCCGTAGACAATGAAGAATCTGCAGGGTCGACTGGCTGACATGGGAGACCCTGTGCATACAACTGTTGGCCTAGTGTTTACCACAAAGTAAAAGAAAAAGGCAATGACGAACAAAAACATGCAACATCTGGACTAGTGTTTACCCTAAGGCAAGTGGAAGACTTTGAGACTAGGGGAAAGGTTTTAGGTCTGATAAGACCATGGAGCCTGTTGACCATTAGACCTTTCACTTCATTTGCCACAAACCAAACACCTTGGCAGAAACAAACCTTTGCCACTAGGACGCCTGGTGAGAGCAACATCATGGAGGTGCTTCTCTGTGGCCTTGGAAGGTTTGTGAAGGTAGACGGCAAAATTAATTCATGAAAATACTGAAAAATCATGGAGGAAAAACTAAACAGGCAGGGAGAACACTTCTTTGCATAAACCACACATCAGCTAATACCTATAACATTAACCTATTGACAATTGAAATGACCATATTAACTGGGGAGGTGTACTGACTTCTTGGCCCCCTGCAGGAGGCGTAATCTGCTCTGCAAGTGCACAGTCAATCATGCAGCTCATCATTCCATTGAAGGAGATTAATCTGACAAAAGCCAACCTACAGCTCTGATTTACACATCCGCATCATCCTTTATCTGTCCCACTGAATTCTACTTGAACTCCTTCCTGCAGTTTATAATAAGAGTATCTCTACCATACCTTGTCTTCCCATTTCATGTCAAAATCCTCTCTTAACACTAATCTTTACCTACAAACACCCACCCACCTATATTTTGAACAGCTTCACAGTTGCTTTCAAGTTCTCCTTTGCCTGCATTCATTCTTTGCTCAATTTTCTGCTCAGACACGTTCCTTGACCCATTTCTACCTCTTGCCTGCAGGGAAGATATACATGTGTGGGAGTACAGTGGTTCAAACTGCTCCAATACAGGATTGAGGACATGGAGAATCACTTATACACAGCAGAGAAGCACATAAAAACACACCTTGTCAAGTCTTGAAATCCAATTTCTACTGAGCTATAAAGTCTACTAATAACAGGGTGAGTTTAATGGCAAGGGAGATATCTGCACTTGAAATCAAGAGTGGTATTTATTTAATAAAGTTTACCTGCAGTAAATGTCAATATTGTAAAGCAGAATATCACTCTACACTTTAAATCAAGAAAATTCCTAAACCTCCATCAACCTGCCCATTGGGTTCCTGGTTCAATCCCAGGAGGGAGCCCTTCTGTGCAGTTTGCATGTTCTTCCCGTATCAGCATGGGTTTTCTCCAGGTACTCCGGCTTCCTCCAACAGTCCAAAGACATGCAGGTTGGGTTAACTGGTGACTCTAAATTAGCCATAGGTGTGAATGTGAGTGTAAATGGTTGTCTGACTCTATGTGTCAGCCCCGTGATAGTCTGGTGACCTGTCCAGGGTGTACCCTGCCTCTCGCCCAATGTCAGCTGGGACAGAGGATAAGCAGTTACGAAAACGGATGGATGATGGTGACTACATTACAATATGTTTTTATCAAGCGATAACCTCTGAGGCTGAAAAATGAAGCTAACGTGGAGGTGCCAAAAACTGCAGCTCCTTGAATGGCCAGCTTCCAATGGCCATTCAATGGCCATTCAATCCTCACAGACCCCATTACATTTCATAAAAGCTTAAAATTATGCTTATTTAAGGGCGGCCTCGCTTGGGTGACAGGCTTTCTGTGAGGCGTTACTACAGTCTGAGTAAGCTCCACCCCTCACTCCTCCACAACTCCAACCTCTCACCCAAATATGGTCAATTCTGGCTCCAAAAAAACAAGATGGCAACAGCCGAAATGCAGATCTGAAGGCTTCGAAACAGGAGTCCATAAACCAATTGGATGACGTCTAGGTAGCTATGTCCATATACTACGTCCAAGTCCATACATTTTTTAAATACTGACCTAACAATCAGTAATGAAACTGTGTCAAACTCAAGTGTACTAAAGTGTTTAGTGTCTCTGAAAGAAAGTGTTTCCTAATGAGAGCAATAATAATGATCAAACTGCAGTTAAAAATCTGACAGGATACAATCTTCAAAGAAAGCAAAGCTTTAAGACCAGAGCTTCTGCTATGTGGCTGTCAATCTTACATTTTAGGTCCAAGTGTTTACAGGACTGACAAATGATAGAGGCTCAGGTAAACACAGTGACTGTGTTTAGAACAACAAGCACAGTATGGAGTGACAAATGGTTGGGTTGTCTCACCGTGTTCTGGGTGCTGTGCCTGCATCTGAGGGCTCTGCTGTTGCGACTGCATGTTGGTGTTTAGTTCGCTCCAGGTGCTCCATGTAGCTGTGGATCATCTGGAAGGTGCACAATCACAGAGTCTTAGAATTAGCTAAAACATATTTTCTTGATGTACAGTCATTTTGCAATCTATATGGCACAGATTAGGTTGCAGTCATCATGTTGGTTTTTACATGTTTTATATGCTGTATTGAAATCCTTACTTGAATTATAAGGCTCTTTAAGTTGCCTGTATTTCTAAGATGATTCAGACTACAGAAGATCTGATTCTAAATGGTCACAAGAACTTCTACATCTTCAAAAATGTTTTCGATGGTCCCTCACATATGAAGTACATTGTGTCCAGACACAGCTGTGACAGTCAGACTCACAACAAATGATGTAGATGAAGCAGCAGTGTGTAGATGACAGCTTTTATTAGACTTCCATCTTCTCTATTCAACATTATTCAGATTAGCAGTTGGCTGCTGAAGCCTGAGAGGTTTTGGAGCATCTGTTAGTGATGCATAATGTATAACAGACCAAGGCGGACCAGTGGCTCAGCAGAAACAGAATTCATGTGTGGATACTTCATGTTTTAATCATCTTAAAGTATCCTAATCCATTCCACGTTGTAGAACCTTTGTTCTTCTATGACAAACAGGTCAGCTATAAAATTATCTATGTTCAACTTAACCTGTACTGTATTTAAAGGGTTTTTTATGCAAAGAGGAATTTTTGGCACCTCAAAAATGGCAATAACTGAGACTAAAAATAGCAATTCAAATCCTCTATGAATGTGTTTCATAGCAATTCAAAAAATAACTGTTGGAACAAACCTATTATAAGCTTTAATGCAACATGTTTGACTTCCAGCAGCCAACTCCCTTCTCAGCAGCTATATTTTACACATGTAGCTGGGTCTTAAAGAGCCAGTTAAGCTGCTTTGTTTTAACTGGGCCTTAACATTCCTCTGTGAAGCTAGTGCTAATGTAATATAATTTCTAATGAAACAAAAGCCGTTTCTTTTCTGGCTTAAAACACTGAATTACAACCGCAGTGTACTTTTTTGATTATCTCCTGCTTCCCACAACCCTCACCTAAACCAAAGCATTTTCAGTGGGTGAGAAAGTGTCTGACATGACAGTCCCCTGTTGTGTGCTGTGCTGCATGTGTGAAAGCACAACTCTGAAAAATGTCCATACCTGATTTTCAGGTATGGCTGTCACATTGACAGACATTCATTTACTGCCTTTCCTGTCCCAACCTCAAACCCAACCCCAAACTCCTCTCCTTGGGTCCATCTCTGTAGGGATCCTTTCCATAATGTTGTCAGACACAGAGTAATAATCAGTCAGTTGCAAAAGCGAGCACTTTTAGAGAACATAAATTGATGAGGCAAACATGCCCCGAGTGGTTATATTGCAGCCTGTTTCGCTGCTGCTGGCTGCAGCCCTCTTGCACAATACTGGACCAATTTCAAAAACTGTTGTTCCTGTTAGTCATTTGGACACAAAAATATGGGAAAAAGAGTCCAGGTTGAAAAATACCAAAGTTACCCTTTCACCAAACACACATATTTTTATCCAAGAGCAGCATACCTCTGTGTGTCTCTGGTGAAGGGTGTTATACTCCTTCTTGAGCTCTGCTTCTCTCTCCTCCAATCTGCTAACTGGATAAAAAAGAGAAATAATTACTCAAAGACATAAAATTAAACAAGCCATAGGATTACAGCAAAATGTACTCATGACAACAAGGAACTTTGTCTCAAAACAGCATTGTTCTACATGAATTACTAACTCAAAAATTTGTTGATATCATGGATCTAACTGTTCCACTGACAAATCATTTGTCATATGAGAAATTGTGTTTTTACCTCACATTTTGTATCACTTAATTATGAGGTACTGAAAGTGGTAGTAGAGCAGTTGCTGTAATAACAATTTAGAGCCAGAAGAGGGCCACCATGCATCAACAAACCACTCCGAAATTACATTAAGCAGAGAGCACTGACCATTAAATCACAGACTCAGCTCTGAAATCAAACTCAATGAACAATCATTATCATCATCATCATAAATGTTTCAACCCATATTGAAATATCACACACACACACACACACACACAGCTGATGTGATTTTGACTACAATAATAATATAAACTTCTAAGTCAACGCTGAATGATAGCAGCTCTTTTGGTTTCTGATTACAGAGGTCTAAAAAGTTTCATTTGAATCATTATGTGAATTGTAATAATAAAGGTCCAAGTAACCGAAACATGAAGAATGGAAATTACATTGGAAAAAAGTTACAAGTTATAAAGTACACATTTCATGTTTACCATATAACCAAAGGAAAAAAGAAAAAAGATAAACAACGCACACACTTATCTACAGAGCAACCATCAGTCTCAGTTGTGATCCATTGTGGCTCTAAGGTGACATCAGTTTGTAGTCAAAACAGCCCGACTGTCTTCATGTGTTTTCAGGTGCCAGCCATACAAAAGGTGGAGAGTGGCACTAAAACGTCCTTTGCACATCCATAACATCAGACTTGTAGTACAAGTCGGAAATAGTCTTTTGTCAGGTGTTAACAAAACTCAAGTACAAAAAAACCACCTATGTGACCAATGAAGAGCAACAGTTGAGACAGCAGCTGCATAGAATGATGTAAACTGTGATTCAGTGTGGGTATGAGAGGGCTGATAGAGGAACTAGTGGTTACAGATTGGAGCAGAAATAACCCAGGTCAGATACAGAGGTGTGGAGATTGAATGGAAGTGACCCTGAAGGAAAGCCCCACATGAAAAGCTTGAATATGTCCTGTTGGAAGAACTTATCTTTTCATAATTGTCCAATTAAAAAATAAATAAATAAAATGCTTAAATTTAATCATTTGAAGTTAAACAAATAGTCAGGGAGTGGCCACACTGATTCAACACTGAACAAACAGTCCTGCTGTCCCTTAGTCTAAGACTCATGTATATATTTAAGACCTAAATAGGTCTGCAACTAATGGCTATTTACGCTACTGATTAATCTGCCTTTTTTCAATTAATCAAAAAATCATTTGGTCTTTAACATGTCAGAAATCAGTGAAAAAATCCTAACTTCCCAGAGCCCAAGGTGACATGCTTAAATGACTTATTTTGTCTGACCAACAGTCCAAAAGACAGTTTACTGCAATATATGTTCTCACATTTCCCATATGAGAAGCTGAAACCTGAGAAATCGTTGCATTTTTCACCATTTTCACTTCTTAAATGACTGAAACAATGACTAAGTTATTAAAATATTTATTTTGTCTCATTGTTCTGTTAATTGACTAATCATTTCAACTATTCCAAAATTTGAGTCCCTTTTCATCACCACCTATCTTTTTTGAGTTGTATAATTCTATATTGTAAAAAAAAATTGACATTATCAATAAAAACTACAGTGAAAATCACTTATAGTGATCATGTCTGTCTGGTTCAAACTGATAACTATACGCAGATGATTATTCTAAGTTTTATTTTTCTTTACTTCTCATGCAGATTACCATCTAATTGACATTTATATATTAATTACATTAATGTTAAGTGATAAAACAGACAGCTTTGCTATTTACTGAATTTTACTGACTGCTTTAAAATACACTACAGCTGTTTAGTTACAGGGGCATTGCGTAACTGGGTGTTATCAATCCACCTGACGAGGGTGGAGTCAACCAAAGGTGTTTTCCCCATGCACCGTCAGTTTTCTGTCTCCATAACAAGCAGCCATAGACTTCAAGACCACTGTATTTTTCACTGAAAGAAAATTATTTTCTTGTTCACGTCATGATTTCAGTGTCCATGCAGCACCAGCTGGACAGGTGTGACAGGTGGAAGGTTACTGTGAGGAAAAGTAACATGATGGAAGTTGAGTTTTTATTGTACCCTCATCATCGAACTATTGTATATACTGTCCATATGTTGATTACAATATGCAAACTGTTTAAACAGCATTTGTACAGGAATGATTCTGTCCAAAGCTTTATGATCAATATAACTGTATTTGTGTAACTGTGATCACTACAATATAAGTAGTTTCCAATATATTTTAAGACGTAATGAAATACGAACATTAATAAACACAAAATTAAGTTAACACTGTTTGCAGTCATCAAAGTGTCTTTGGGTTTATAGAGTTAGACTGTGTGTGCTCCACTGACATGACCAAACCCAGATTAGTGATCTAACTCACACTGCTGCCAATTCTGTCCACAAACATAATTACAGACAAGTGAAACTCCCAAACAGAAAAAGGGAAGTGTCACATCGAAAGAAATAAAAGAAATTTGCTGAGAGCTCTCAAATTTTCCTTTTGCATGAATGTTACACTCCTGCGGTGGAACAAACGAGCAAGTCACACACCCTGTCAACAGTACAGTCATGCACACATCATGAGGGTTTTCTTTTGATGACCTGGAAAGATGACCGCACTCATTAGACTTCAGGACTACTACGGTGTCCTTAACATGTAAAGGTCTTTACTATCTAAGAAAATTCTCAGTTACTTTTTACAGTATTTAGCGGTTCTTTTTTATCTAGCAACACAGAATGCTACTAAAAGTTTTCCAGATAAAAATTACAGGCAGGTCAGAGCCTTGGCTCCTTAAAATCCTCCCGTCCTCCACAGTGAACCTTTCATGGTTTGGAATATGTGTGGACAATTCTATTACAGCTCATTTAGCAGACGTGGTGGGCAAACACACACAGAGTATGTTACAAATGGCCTTTATTCAGTAAGCACATGGGAGTCAATCTGCCCTGCGGCTCATCAGAGCTAACAAACAGTCACAAGACCTGCAAACTGTCGATGCTGCTCACAGGGTATCTGGCCTGTCTGTGTGTGTGTGTGTGTGTGTGTGTGTGTGTGTGTGTGTGTGTGTGTGTGTGTTTGTTAGACTCCAATAATCGAGCCAGTACAGTAAAACCTGCATCTGTGGACTTACTGTGATCTGCATAGTTTTTTGTTTTTAGCTCTAGCTGACGCGTGTTTGACTCCAGCATCACCACCCGACACTGGAGTTCCTTCTTCTCGCCCTCCTGGGAGTCTTCTAAGGCGATGTATTTCTGCAGATAAAGAGAGAAAATAGAGCGAAAGAACAGAGTCTTTATTATCAAAGCACTTGTAATCAACATGAGTACTATAAACTTCTGAAACTCCCCGTGAGGGACTGATAAGATGATTTGTTTATGGCAGCAATGGGAGACAGAAATGTCACGCGTGCATGTGGCAGTCCGCTCCTCTCAGCCAGTCTGACATCTGCTGAGCTCTGAATTACCTCATCACCAGCTATGACATCCAACCCTTTGAATGTGCATGAAATAGAGTCGAGGGTGAAATGGAAATGTTGGGGTCTAAATCCTGTGTGTGCATGTGTGTGATAAAGAGCTGCTTGTGCTAACAGTGTTGATACCAGTGGAAAACAGAGTATACAGCATCTGTCTTCTGTCCATTGTGAAAGTCATCTAACCTCTCTGCACAACAGGTGCACAGTGCCAGCTTCTGCTCCAAAGCAAAAAAAAAAAAAACAGCTACAGCCTTTGTGTTTGTGTGTTTGTGTGTGTGTGTGTGTGTGTGTGTGTGTGTGTAACAGTTGATATCAATGCCAAGGTTGTTTTTTCAATCTTCACAGCAGCCGTTGTCACTAACCTCATTCCTCTCAGGGGATCTAGGAATCAAAACTGTGACTGTTTTTATATCAGGAGACACTGGATAAACTAGCACACAGCACAGTGGGCTCACTCTAAAGACCAACATGCTCAATAAATTATAATGATGATAAAAAATAATATTCATAATCTGTTACTTTACCGTTCCCATAAAGGCAAAGTGGTCAGGGTCAGAGACAGAACAGACACCTGGGGCTTCAAGGCAGCTTCTGAAACTGTCTCCAGCCACAAGCCAACCATTAAACCCAAATGTAATCCATTTAATGGTGGGTCGACCACTGCTCCCTGATGGCAATTTACACTGTTTGTTAATAGATTGGATTCGATGAAACTTTTAATGAGCTCTGACACAAAAGTGGGTCTCTGAAGGGACAAATAAAGAAAAAATGAAGAGAAACTAGAGCAAAGTAAATGCAGATATCAACACAACCTTACAACGCTGGTGACGCACACTAAAAAGATGTAGCCTTGACGTTAGACGTAAAATTAAAACTTACGATATTTGCCCCATTTCCAATATATGAGCGCACTGACATACCTAACAGCTGGCTTTCTCAGCAGCATAAGTCTGACATTAGTGTGAACATTCAAACTGTCTGGACAAGTACATGTGAAGGAGGGCTGCACAACTAGTCAATCAATTACTCGATCGACAGAAAATTAATCGGGAACTACTAAATCATTCGGGGGTTTTTTTTGTTTTGTTTTTTTTTAAGAAAAAAAAAAAAGCCAAAAATATGATATTTCCAGGTTCTCAAATGTGAGGACTTACTGCCTTCCTTGGTCTTACATAATAGTAGATTTAATATTTTTGGATTTTGAAATGTTGGACAAAACAAGACATTTGATTGAGTCACTTTAGTCTCTAGGATATCGTAACAGGTTTTCCTCAGTGTTTTTTTAATGTTGTGTAGACCGAACAATTCAGTAGAAAATAATCTACTGATTAATTGGTAACAAACAATCATTATCTGCAGCCCTAATATAAACGGCTATTAGGGCTACACAATATACAAAAAAAAAAATATCATACTGTGATAAATCTGACAGATACAGTGATTGCGATATGAGTTGTGATTTTAGTGGGAATGGTAAATTTTGCATTTCATTTTCACTGAAAAACTATAAAAATTACAATGGGATTTTTGCTGTACGAAACAAGCATGTCCCCTTACGTCTGGAAAATGATTTCTGGCTACTCTGCAGCACCACCATGTTTCATTTACAATGGTATGTTGGGACACATTATATCTGTATCAAATAATTTCAGCTCCTGCAATTTGAATGCTGCTCTTGGCCATATTGCCATTTTAATAACATTTGGATAAATTGTGCAGCTTATGGGCTGATGGCTACAGCCTGGAATTCTAAAAATAAGAATAACACATGTCTTTGTTGCTCTCTTGCTTGGCTGGTTTTGTTATTGGAGGCCCATTTATTGATACCACAGCTGATTACTGAGTCAGGTGTCTGATGACAGGCTAAGACTCTCCCATGCCTGTAAACATGCAGTCTTGTGATGTGGGTGCTCGCTGTGGATCAGGGACTAAAGTTGGGCCCTGGGCAGAGGGTGGGTGTCATATGCAAGGAGATAAGGATCACCTGAGCTCTCTGTTACAAACAGCCTCTTCTTTATATGCACATCATATTAACACTGGAGGTGTCTAACAAAGGTGTTTCTTCAAGATGTTTGTATGAACTCTCTCCAAACACAATTCAGTCATTGATGGGCTGAGATGTTTTTTTCTGCCTTTGGGGTCTCTAAGCTATTTCAGTGAAAAGCACTTGATTTGCCACTTATTACCTTTGAATGTGGTGTCTGGCAAATACAAAGCAGTGAACAGATTTTGCTTTACTGTCAAATTTGAGTTAGTTTGTATGAATGTGCACTTTTTCTCCTCACCCACATGGAGGTGAGGAAGTTATTGGGGCATTGAGGTTGAGAGGCTTATGGAGGTCCCAGTGGGGTCTGGAAAGCCCAGGGAGCATCTTAAGAACTGAGCTATTGGTAATAACACAGCATTTCCCATGTAAATCTACTAAGAGCATTAACATAGCATTAGGCTAGACTACAGACGGGAGGTTTCATAATGGGGGGGTGCCCCCTAATCTGCAGTGGCATATAACTACAACACAGACAAGCTAAACACTTACAATCTTCAGTTTGTGATCATTTCAAACTGCTGATGGGAAAACAATTTTAAGAAAATGCCAGGTTCTCCTCAGATTCACACCAATTAGCCATGACACACACTGACAATACCCCTCTATGGTATCAACACATTTGTCAGAGCAACTCCAAACATCTTCCCCTCTCACACTGCTGCTCATCATATGACCCAGGAAGGAGGCTGCTGCATATGACAACGCTCCAGAGAATGAGTGTTCCAGCGTTTTAACGTGCACTCTTCCCCCTACGCTGCATGTATAATGCGCCCTTTGTAGACGACTGCCAACACACACACAAACACATGTGGCTCAAGCACAAGTGCGTGCACAGCCACACAGACAGGGCTCCACTGTATTGGCACTCAGTTGACAGAGAGTGAAATCAACTCCTTTTAGTGTTTTTGGCTGTGGGTTGCTACTGGGACATTGAGAAAACAGGGTTGTGTAAGGCCTTGGATATCAGACGCAATGAAGTGACAGAAGAACTGCTGCAGAGTATTTAGTAGGATAACTCCATTATAATTACATGGTTATCAAAAGGGATGTTGCCAACCATGCAACCATTTTTGGTTAGATTAACAGAGCCTACTGCAAATCACAGTTTCTGCTTCTAATGAGTGATTAGCCAGAGGCTGTGCATCTTAACACCACATTCATAGTTGCTGATAAACCGACTAGCTGTGTCTAGAGCCATGCTGGCAGCTCTGTGAGAAGGTACTTACGCACAGTGTTGCTTTGAGACATGCTCACAATGACAATGCAACATGCTGATGTTTAGAAGGTATAATAAGTACCCTGTTTCCATCCCTTTTTAAGAGAGTTAGCATGCCATCATAAGCTTTCAAGTAAGGATGGGCATTTAAAGTAACTTCCCTCTTCGAGTACTCGCAATAAACTATTTTACTAAACGTAAAAATAGGGTCCGAAATGAAAACCCGAAATTAAATTGTGGGTAGGGTAAAAAAAATTAAATTGTATGCCCCCAATATCAAAAATGGTATTGTATATTGATATATTTTTCTGGTATTGTATCATAGTTAGAAATTCCAGTATTGTGACAACACCACACTTGACAAGAGTACAACTCAGGGGGATTACCAAAGTCAGTATGATTCATCCTCTGGGGACCATGTATGTATGTCTGTCTACAAATTTTCCTGGCAATCCATCCAATAGTTACTGAGATATTTCATGCTGGAACTGAGTCATAGAGTGACCTGACTCTGCCATCCCTAGAGCGATGCTGCTAGCACGGCTAAAAACAGGTCAGGTCAGATTACTTTATTTGTATCCATGGGTAGATGTGCCCGCAGTACACGAGGCATCCACACATTTTATAAACAACACACACAAATATGACAGAAGTGCAGTCAATTGCACTCATGCCTCTGTCTTCTAATCCTTAGGTCACCATTTTGCTCAAGTCATATGAGGCAACATGTCACCATATACCGATACTGTTGCTCTCAATAGGCTCCATGTTAACGATCCATGATGATCAGTCAGCTGGCATTACATATAAGTAGGCTGTGGTCTTTTACAGGTCAGCAGACGACCCTGAGTGGACCAAAGAACTGAGGGAAGTGCTGTTTTTCCCCAAGAATTTCCTGCCTTGCCTTTTCCTCCCCTCTGGTGAGACAAACTACTAAGAGGAGGTATTCCTCAGGGCATGGAGCTGCAAAAAGCAGGACTTGGCTCATACAATGTGTTTGTTTGGTGAGATTAATCCACTACGTTGCTTCCAGAGTGACTTGTTGCCCAATTAAGCAGCTTAGTAACTGAGTCTGTGCCATGCAACTCATTTGCCTCCATTCAGTATATAGCTGCTTTGTTGGGAGATGCTTTGCATTGAAACAGTCTAAGTGTGTTATGAATTTTCTTTCAGTTTAACCACGTGAAATATAACTGCTATAAACTAAGTCACTGCTGTGCGAGTGACTGATTTCTGAATATGTCAACTGCTATAAAACTGGACTGCAATGGACTGTAAAGGTGTACTTCCACAAAAACAACTGACCATCATCTGTGTTGTTCTCTACCATCAGTAATATCCACCATACTTTCAAATACAATGCCATTTTGCTCATTTCTAGTACTGCCATTTTAAATTTTGCCAAATTACCTTTTATGTTATTTTTAATAAATGCCCCAATATCTGCGAGTTCTTTTCCAACAAATATCCTCCAGTGAACAATGTCAAGTTTCCGGCTGGAGCTAGAGTGACTTCTTGCAGATAAGCAGAAGAACCAGGCAGTACTGGTAGATCAATGATAATGACGTCACACGAGTTCACTAAAAATACCACAGTAAGGAATGTTCGTACCAAAGATCTTCCCAATGTATACAAATCCAAATCATTATTTACAGAGACTTAAAGGCATTAGTATGAAATGTGCACTTTGTGAAGAGCTCAGAGAAATGCTGCTGCATTTGTTTTGTTTTTGCCAAAACTGTGGCTTAAACTGTTGTGATTTATTGCTGATACCTACCCTCGATTTACATTATTTGAAAAGATGTACTGTGAGGATTCACTGAATGTGATAGCAATTCTCGGTAGAAAAGCCCAGACACGCCAAACCAACTTCAGAAAAGTAGCTGTGACGCCCCCTGCGGCATCACCTCACGTTGCAGTGTCACGTCCAAAAAGTTGCACATACACTACAAAGACTGCAACCAACTGTCAATCAGCATGTACATTGTGCGCTTACATGTGAGGAAGTAACTCTCCACACCAGCAGACGGCAGTAGCCTGTGATCGTCATACTAAGGGGAAACCAGAAGACCGTCTTGACGCTAGTTAGCCAGTTAGCACATAAACAGCACAATCCAGTCTCGTGGAGCTCAATGGCTAGAAAAGAATTATCTCACATAATTTAAGAAGTTTGTTTTGGTCTCACTCCCTCTTGACTTTAGCTGTTGGTTTACTTTCCTCACTTCCGTTTCTGTTCTTGTGTGCTGAGCTGAACTGACAATCAACGTGATTTCATTCAACAATGGGCCCTACAGTCACCGCCAACTCAACATGCTGAATCGGCAGGGGAAAAAACGGCCAACTGACGCGAAAGTGGGGGAACGGTGCGGGACACACTGCAGCTACGAAGGTCATAGACGTTCACCCCAGCCAACGGTCGGCTTGGTGTGTCAGGGCTTTAAGTTTTACCTGATCAATTCCATCAACTTCTATCATATATTTCTAATGTTTTCATTTGATTATCAGTCGTTCCATTCAATTGCCAAGCAAATTTTAGGTGAACTTTTTAAACGCTGCAAAGAAGAAATTCGAATTAGGCAGGTTTCCATCAACTGGTTTAGAACAAATAAACCAGGCTACACAAAGCATACATTCGTTAAAAGTTGGCAGTATAGGCTACATGCATGGCAGCAATCTACCAGTAAGAGAAGAAGAAGTGGAGGTTGCAAACCAGACACAAAACAAGTAAGCATGTAACCCGTCTATGAGAGAAAAATAGAGAGAGGTCTTCAGGAATTAGTTTTATTTGGCAATTGTTCTTTCGTGTCGGCTAGTATTGGCCATGTTTCATGCTGTCCAGAGATGAGGACAAATTCTGTGATTATGGGAATATCTGGAAGATGCTGACAGTGGAAACAACTCATCAGTCAAGTGAGTTAAAAGTTTGCTACATCTGAATTTCTTCAGCAGAGGTGTTTCCATATCACTCTTCTCAACAAAGACAAAAACCCACCTCAACAAAGCCCAATTGAGAAAGTTTTAACAAATTTTGCCATTTTCATACTGCTTTTTGATGCGATATTTCAATTTGCAACCCAACACATACACAAGATTAGCAATTTTTGGTTATTGTGCTGTGTATTTGTTACATTTACTTCAATAAAGTTTATTTTCAAGGTCTGACTTTTATGAAATACCTATTTAAACAATTATCAAAATTAAATGCAAACAAACTCTTAATTCTTAGCAACGCTTTTTGGTCAGATTTTTAAATGCAGATTTATTGAAGCAGATATTTTCTAATCTAAGTCAGTATACTTGGGTATCAAAAAAGAATGGCTTTTGTAGCAGAACACTGATATTAACAAATCTGGATATTATGGCTGGTGTAGCAAACAGCTCTGCTCATTAACCTCTTCACAGCACAGTCATGACCTCCTATAGCCATAAATGCCACATCCTGAATTGTGACTGTTCATTCAACTTCCCACACTGACATGCATAGAAGCTGACCCCTCCTATCGAGAGGATGTAGAGCCAAAGGACAAGACCTATGACATCATCTCAGCATGAGAACATTACAGATCATCACACCAACATGCAAGCTAACAGGTCATCTGGCTGAGGGAACAGCTACTTCTACTGGGGACGAGGTATTTTACACTTAGTAGCAAGAGGGAACAAAACAAATGTAAAAGCCCATAGCATACCAATGGAAAATCCCATGTGTGCTGGGCTTTCTAAAAGCTTTAGCAACATGTTACGACATGACATAAATTATTAACGCACTGCTTTGTGACCTGTTGCGCTTGTCATTCAACATTTAACTGTCAAGTGAAATGTCAACAACTCTGAGAATACTGAGGAGTGGCAAAAACTGCACATGTAAATAGCAGTGTGATTTCCTAATCAGAAACTCAGAGAACTTTGTACGCTATATTTAGAATATTTTCATTGCTTTACCTTGCGGTTAGACAGCAATTTCCTATGGGGAACTGAAGCCAATTAGTTGCTCTCCTCAAAACCAAACTCCATTGAGAAAAACAGTGACTTAACATCGCTGGACACAGGAGTTGCTGGTCTACTGCTGTCTCAATCAATTGGTTTGTGCCTTTGGCATTTAAAAAGGTTAGTTCAGATTCACCTAAGTCACACAAAACCACAAACAAACTACCTGGTTGCAGCACTGGTAGATCAGCAGCTCCCGTGGTCAGCAAGCTAAAATTACTGTTTCTGTCAATGGAGTCTGGTGGCTTTGACGAGAGCATAGATGGAGAACTGAAGCAGTTAACGGCTTAAGGTGCAGTTTAAGTTTTAGTCATTATTTTCTGGAAAAATAATAGTTTAGATTTACGTTGGGTGTTTTCTTATAAAGCCTATTAGGTAGTCCTTGAACTACCTAATAGGAAAGTCTGGCACACAATATTGATCATGAGCTGTTAAGAACAAACCATGCATTCAAGAGTCCTACTGCATGAGCATGACATAATACATGTCACATTCAAACAGCAGCTTGGTGACTTGTTTCAGCTGTAACCACATGATTTTTGTAACTGTGACTTAGCAGAAAGATATTCATCTGGCTGCAGCAGCCACTCAACAGAGTACTTTTAAATGTTAAGCATACAAATATTTAATAAACCGAACGTATTTAGCTGATTCTCTATTATTAAACAAATTGTAATAGTACAGGAACTACAGATTCCATCACCACCTGGACGGCAAGGACTAGAGTATGGCTCCATCCAAATGCAAATGTTTCATAAAAGTATAAAAGATGAATACATACAACTGCCAGTAGTCGAACAAATGATTCTAGTCACTAAACTTCTTTCAAGGTATCTTTGTGGATGTCTTAACAGCTTTTTTTTAAATGCTGTGGCCAATTTGTTTGGTATACCTTGGTCAAAGGGCAAAAAGGCAATTTCTCTGTACCTTTTTTCATACAGTATGGTGTCACTCTAGTTTAGATTTGTCATCTCTTCAAAACTTTTATTTCTGTTCTTATCTATTTTATTACATAGCTTTTGATTTTATGATTCCAATAAACACATTATAGTTTTGGAAATGTTGTGCTCTACCTGTCCTCGTATTGCTGTGTGTCACAGATGTTTTGCAACTTATCTCATTATCACCTGTATGATCCAGACTCACTACAACATTATTACTGTGTGTGGACAACTTGTTGTGATTACTGACTTGAAGCTTTGATTGAGAAGGCAACTCATTGTATACTCACTCACACCTACCAATTGGCAATGACAGTGGGAGGGAAAAGCACAAACACACACGTGTGTGTACAGGAGCAAATCTGAGCTTTAGGAGTTTGTGCTAACAGGCTACTTAAACTAAACAAACAGGCCTAATACTATGGATCTTACACCTTTCATCTCATCAGTGTGCCTGTTGCTACCATGGATTTAACACAAGCTTAATCTCCTTGCATTCAAGATTCAAGACATGGATGAATGCTGTAGAATAGTAGCTGCTCTTATAATAAGCATCACCCACATTTTCATAAAGTGCAGCAGAACAAAACTAGGACTGCCACTGACCTAATAACGATGTAAACACACACTTAAGTTTGGATGGTGACCCAGTGGGCTTGTGTAAATGTGTCACTGTGCAAACAGACTGCAGTGTGGTGGTGAAGCAACGAGGAGCACGGTGTGTCATTTGGGTTGAATCAAATGAGAGGACAGTCAGCCTGACATTAGTCATGAAGCTGAATGTGATCACTGAGGTTTGAAGCTGTCTTTACTGGAGGCAGCAAAAAGCAGCCACCTTAGGAACAAATCATTGTTTGAATTGGAGATGAATGTTGAGGTATTGCAAGATCAACTACAGTGGTGGATCCAAAAGTGGCTGGTATCCATAGTGGCATAAACTTGCAGCCAAAGTACAGTGTGTGCTTCAGATGTATTTGCGCTCCGGTAAATTATCAGACCTGATAGGGCTGTCTTTTTTGCATCTTTCTGAAATACAAGACTCGTTATTCAAAATCGGAATTCAGCTCATGGAGCTTTTTTTTTTTTTTTTTAAACAGGATTTCCAGCTGCTATTCCCTCAATTTTCCTCCGCCAAAATGCCGTATTACGGGCCGTGGCAAGTATCAACAACCACTTTATAAAGTGATTCTCCATCAAAAAAAGTACTTTGTTGGGGTCTGCAAGTATGCCGAATTAAAGAGTGGGTTATTTACATTATATAAAGTAATAATTCGCGATTAATGAGAAGCTGATAAGCACCCCATAAGTGAATTGCCAGATTTCCGAATTAGGTTTGGCATTTAATCTTTCCATGCCAAAGTACATAATACGAGGCTCTAATCTATGATCTGGTTTGTGAATTAGTTTGGCAGTACCCACCTCCTCTGTGTTTTTCCTCAGTGACTTCTCTCGTTCATACTGGGTGACGAGTTGCTCGTTGTCCTCCTTCAGCAGCTCCAGCTCCACTTCGTGCTCCTGGTTGACAGCGAACACCGAGTCCAAGTTCTCCAGCACGGCGACGACCAGCGGCATCAGCTCTTTCACTACGTCCTCGTCGTATCTTTCGATGAGCCGCTCAAACTCGCGGTATATCGAACTGGCCAGACCTGAGACCCGCTCGGACATCATGGCAGAGTTGCCGGAGTCGTCCTGATACAGGACTACGTCGTCCAGCTCCATTTTCTTGCCTCCACTTGCACTTCTTTCCCAGCTAACGTTAATGAGCTAGCCGCAAGCTTCAGCTGGCCAGAGGCTGTCCGCCTTGCTACTTTCAGCGCAACAAAACGGTGTCTCTAAAACATAGCTCGACTGTTGTGTACTATACAGAAGAGACACTGTACTTCATAAACAACGTCTGTTGTCCTTAGTCGTCTGGACGGCTGACTTTAAAATCTTGCTAGCTCAGTAGCTAGCACTACTGAAAAGTCTTTACTTGGCTCCTGATTAGTTTCCCTGTCCAACAGATGAGCTCCTGCTGCCGCCTTCAAGTGCTGTCGGAATTATGGGAATTCACGCAGTTAAACGACATAGCGAAGTAGTAAACACTGAAAAAGACGTCGGATTGTAGTGCAAAGCAAGGAAAATATAAATAATATATACGATATAGATGTTTTAGTTTAACCTATCTCAGTAGTAACCGGATATATGTATAATTCTGCAAAACGCCAAAGCCAAAAGTGCACAGAAAAACATAAAAAGCAATACTATGTTGTGAAAATTTTTTTAGAATGCTACAATATAGCGAATTAGTGGCAACAAAGGTAAAAATGAACACTATCAGCTCATTAGTTCATATTGTTAAAGCTAAAAGAATAATGTAATATGTCCTGTTGCTCATTTATAGTGGCTGCTATGTGACGTTTAAGGGGCGGAGAACAAACCATAACAACACCTGATTAAAAGAAATCCAAACTAATTACTTATAGCTTTATTTTTCTGTACAGACGTACGGATCATGTGCGTTTCTCATAATTTAATCTTCCACCTTTGTCACATTTAGGTACCTTGTAAATTCATTTCTGTGTCTGGTTTACTGCAGGTTATGCTTTCCTTCCTTTGATTTTAAAGCTGAAGCACAAAGTAATTTTGCGGGCCTGCCATGTGATTTGAAGTCAAAAGCAGAGACACACTGTTTGACTGAGCCAACACACTGTTTGACTGAGCCAAATATGATATTGTACGGACTATGCTTACTTACTTACTGAAATTTAGCATCTCCCAGTTTGGAAATAGGAGCTTACGAGGATCACTCGAAGATGTCATGTGTTGTGACGGGACGTGACGCTTACGTCACATGCTAAACAAGGCTGATGAAGGATAGGGAGTGAAAACTGTAGGTAATCCTTGGTGATCTATTCATTGGAGACATTTCATAATTATTAACCTCTCCCCCCCCCCCCCCCACTGACTCCTATGGCCTGAGGCAAGAATTAATCCCTTTTTTTTTTGTTAGCTTTATACATTTTCCCCTCAAATTTAGTCCACTTGCGCTGAGTTCAACAGGTTGCTGAGTTTAGGAAGTGCTTGTATTCCTTCTATCATAAAAAAATAAAAGGATGATGAGTGTGCTTCACAAGATTTTTTATTTGCATCAAGGAGTCCAATTGGAAATGTGAAACAGTAATGCAGGCATCAGTTGAGTCAAACTTTAATATTATATATTACCTTGAAAAAAAGAAAGATGTGATATTCATGGCAAGTAAACAGGTTCCCACACATTGGATAAGTACAATCTTTTTACCTCTTACATCTATCTTTTTTTTTTGTTTTGCAGAACATCATGCGCTATTCAAACTGCATTGTTGAAAATGCTGAACTTAGTGTAAAAACACTACACTCATCACTCTTTTCCTTTAAAGCAATCCTGCTGACGTATTTTTCTGTAATGCATAGGCACTGTTCACCCTGATGTTTCAAGACATTAAACACAAGACGGACTAACTACAGTTACTACAATAAAGACCAAATGCTTCAGTGCACTTTTGGAGGTAAAAGTTACCCTTAAATCCTCACATCCCGGATCGGACTGCTCTTCAGTCGTCTCCACAGATAAGGAAGACAGCGTCTGACGCTTTCAGTGCGCAGAGGGCGAGGGCGGACTCTACCAGGCACACAGCACTCACACAAACATTAAATGTAGAACACAGTAAAACAGCAGCACTGTCAAATATTGTACACAATGCACATTCAAAGATCATGGCATAAAGTTGCTCATAGAGTAACTCAAGAGAGTTGAAATAAAACAAATGACTTGAATTAAATAGATAAAAGTGCAATTTAACAAAGTACTTGTGGCCCTATTTGGTAAGTGATCATTCATGGAGCTCTCAGCAGGTAAATCTCTATGGTTTCATGTATTCCATCGCCATTACAATCCAGTTTCCAAATGTTTCCATTATAAAAAAGGGGCTTTAGGATCAGGCCTGTAAACAAAATGCAAATGAGGAGCGTGATACATTTGATCCTGGATCAGGTGTAGAGAAAATCAAACACACAAACAGAAGTGGGCTTAAAATACTGGAGAGTCTGGGAGCACAGACAGAAGGAGTCAAAGTCTTTATGACACATTTCAGATAGTATTGTGCTGGCTGTTGTTTAACGACGATGGGCAGAGGGAGTAGGGCTTGTCGCTGGTCAGACTTTTGAGTGCTCTAAGCAAAATGTCAGGCATGTGATCTGCAAGCATCCTGGGACTGATCAAAATACTCCTGAACGCCATTTCGTTGGACCAGTCTGCACGGTAGCGAACCTGGGAAAAACAGGATCTGAGGAAAAAAAGAGAGAGAGAAGAAATTTGGTGGCAAGTCCAGCTCAAAATTCTTATGTCAAAGAGTTTGAGGCCTCTTTAAACCCAACACTGACACACATCTGTTGATATAGGTGTGCTAGCATTGTCCATGTGACTGTCAGCATCCAAAAACATCAACAAAAAGTGTATATTAAAATGACATAAAAACTTGCACATGAAACATTTAAAATATCTCACATACTGAAAGCTGTAATTGAAGTGGCGGTCAACATACTACAACTGAAAAAAGTTAAAATAGAAATGGAAGAGCTAAAAGAAGTGTGAGCGAATGAAGCGTGAAGTGATGAAAGGAGCTTGAAGATTGAAGTGGAAAGTTCAAGCAGTGAAAGGAGCAGTGTGAGTCACAGGTGATGAATTGAGCTGGAATTTTCAAGTGAAGTGAAAGTCCTGAAGAAATTAGTGATAGTTCAAGTGTATAAGTGTATTCAATAACTGAGAGCAGTCAGAGTAAATTCTATATTAACAGGATGGATGGAAGTTGTGGAATTTAAAGAGCTGAAGAAGTTATTTGTTTGTTCAAAGGGTGAGACCTGAAGGGGTTTGAAGTGGCAGCATTATAAGCAGCTGATGCATCAGCTGATGAGAAAGAAATGAATGCAGTTAAAGTGTGTGTTGATATGTGAGTACTGGAAGAAGATTAATCATCATTTACTGTACTGATTGCTGTATCATAAATAGTGAAGCTTTCCCTACATTCTGTGTCTTATCATTGCCATGCAGCGCATAAACACATATTCCTGTTTATCAGCCTGTAAATAGGGTGAATCTGTAAGGTATGGAAGTCCATATCCTCCAGTGTGATAAAATCATATTATTCTATTATTATATATCATTATAATTATAAATTAGTATCTTGAAATTACTTAGTATGTCAAAATAATAAGTTAGTATCTCAATATAATGAGAAACTTTCTCATCATTTTGAGCAAATAATTTATTTTGAGATACTAACCATTTTGAGCAAGTTTCTCAATATTTTGAAAAAGTTTCTTATTATTTTAAGAAAATTTCTCATTATTTCTAGATACTAACTCATTATTTTGAAAAGGTTTCTAAATATTTTAAACATTTTTCATTATTTTGATATAATAACTCATCATTTTGAAAAAGTTTCTCATTATTTTAGGATACTAACTCATTATTTTGAGAGAGTTTGTCATCATTTTAAGAAAGTTTCTCATTATTTTGAAAAGGTTTCTAAATATTTTAAAACATTTTTCATTATTTTGATGTAATAACTCATTATTTTGAAAAGGTTTCTCATTATTTTAGGATACTAACTTAATATTTTGGGAGTTTGTCATTATTTTAAGAAAATAGTCAATATTTCTAGATACTAACTCTTTATTTTGAGCAAGTTTCTCAATATTTTGAAAAAGTTTCTCATTGTTTTAGGATACCAACTCATTATTCTGAGAGAGTTTGTCATTATTTTAAGAAAGTTTCTCACTATTTCTAGATACTAACTCATTATTTTGAAAAAGTTTCTCTTTATTTTGAGATACTAGCTCATTATTTGGAGATACTAACTCATTATTTTGAAAAAGTTTTTAAATATTTTAAAACATTTCTCTTTATTTTCAGATACTAGCTCATTATTTGAGACACTAACGTAAAGTTTCTCATAATTTTGAGAAAGTTTCTTATCATTGTGAGATTCTATGTCATTATTTTGGGATACTAACTCATTATTGTGAGAAAGTTTCTCATCATAATGACTGATTTTTTTATTTTTCCATCACACTGGCAGAAATGGGCTACCACAGTAATGAAGGGAATTCAGAGATTAGGCAAACCTCCGTGACGGCCCATCTTCTGTGATATGCAGAATGCGCCCGGGTAGGAAGAGAGGAAAGTGGGCAGCAGTGTGGGCAGGTGAGTCGTCTGACGCCAGGCTCTGATAGGATGATGAATGGCGAATGATCAGTGACTCCTCCCCTAACAGAGGCTGGTTGAGCTCCACCTCCCTCCGGTTTTCCATCTCAGTCGGGATGTCATCCGGGTCTCCTCCGAACAACTCGTACCAACATCCCTGCAGCAGGATGCGGTACTGAAACACAGACAGAGAATATTTTTAAAAGACTGAGACTTAGGTGACTGACATGTAAGTGCTGTAAATGGTTCCTACCTTTGGCTTATTGCAATTTGAAACTATTTTAAGAATCCTTTTCTTGAGATCCTCCATATTGGGAATGCTCAATCTGTAAAGGAAAATAAATGATGAAAAGAAAGAGGGAATACTGTGAAGGAAAAACACTACTTAAAAAGAACACAGGGGAGAAGGAGCATATGAGTTGCTCTCATTTTCTGCTTCTCTGTGACTGTAATAACAGGGCAGAGCCAAAAATAGAGTCTCCATCACGCAGGAGTCTATAATAGTCTGTGCACCACAGCACATTCATATTGGCCTTCTGAAGACAAGAGTCGGCAGCGCTGCTATCACACAAACATATATTTGCCTGCAGTGTTCCACAGTTAATTATGTCTCAATCAACCAAACTGCTACAAGATCCTAACCAGTATCAACGTACAATATTCATATTTCAAGAATTATAACTCTGTTTAAACCGTATGCTCTAAAAGCAAAGAAGTATATGGTGTAAAAAAAAAGCTACGAGTTTTACCTGGGAACCAGATCCTTTCCCAGCACGACAGAGATCACAAAGTCTTTGGAGTAATCAGCTAAGGCTTTACTGTATATGGAGAAAATACAGAACGGAAAACATAGATTAGTCCAGTAAGTATAAAGATACATTAAACTCTATGTGAAAATTACATGTTTTAAGTCAGACCTGTAAAATCATAATTTTTATTCATCTCAAAAATGCATGTCTAGGAACAGAGGAAATATTTAACTCCTGCAGTCACTTCCAACAA